AGGTACGGCCCCAGTACAGAGCCATGTGGGACCCCTGCTTTTGTGAATGTTTTACGTGATAAACGACCATTGATACATATTCTTTAACAACGAGCTTACGGATCACAACGACCCCAAGCTAATAGTTTACCAGTTATACCATATTGTTGAAGTTTATGCAATATACGTTTTTGCCCTACCCTGTCGAATGCCTTAGGATTATCACGAAATGTCATACAAAAATACTTATGATCGTCAAGCGAATTGCAAATGTGCTGACTGATTTCAATTATTTGATATGTAGTACAGTTGTTTGGCATGAATCCCGATTGATATTTTGAAAGTAGTTTACTCCCCGGACAGTAATTTTACATTCTTTTAAAAGTAAGTCTTTCAAATAATTTACCAAGACATTGGGACAGTGTTATGTTCTCAGTTGAAAGTTCAGTGGGGCTGTATCCAAACTGGGTAAAAATATGGACTAAAGGTAAAGAGAATATGGTTTAACAGCGTCCAAAGTATAGTCCATAATTTCATGTTTGGGTGGGGTGTCTGTGTTGGGTGCCATATAATCGCGGTATGACTATTTTGTGGTGTGATAAGTGTAGATAATGTGGTAAACATCACTTCCTGTTTTGGAATATACATAATCAGTATACATACGACCTAGGTTGGGTCAAGGGACAACGTCAGAAAATATAGGTTCTTTCCAAACCAATTTCTGAATGGAGGTACGGGTAATTCCATTTCAGAATCATTCCAGAAACTATCAAAAGAAAGTTAACGTGTATATACTAACGAGTAGCCCTGACATACCACAATAAGTCCTGTATTCGATCACGCGATCAAATATCGTGCTTATATTGGCATAAGTAAACAGTCGACAGGGTTTTTTATTACGCGATTAACCAATACCGCGATAATATAGAATCATACTATATATCTCGCCCGACTGAAACATGCATTATGAAAATAGCTCTGACGGAATATTGAATGGTTAGTTAAGCAGTGTTTGTTGAACAAACTTATCTCTTGGTCTATGACTTAATAAATTCTCAATAAATTCTGGTCAAACTGTGCCGATGCCAGTTCTATTTAAAGTTGCACTGTCATACAATCTCAACCGCGTGGGTGTTTCCAAGAACGTATAAGCAACGCTGTGAGGAGTGTGCAGGGTAGCCTGTCTCAAAGTCCCCGAACTATTATATTTTCCTTTACTCTACAGCCCTGCGTGAAGATTCCGTGTGAAGTTCGATCCACAATCGATGCTGATACGAGGCAAGTCGGGAGTTCCTCCCTCTGTGATGTCGCTCATTATTATCATTATTCATTATTCACAGGCCCTAGTATTGCTAACTGTGGCGTAAAGCAGTAAACAAGGAAACGCTATCGAACGTAATTTTCAATCAGTAGTGTAACAATGATTGTTAAATAAATTATGTTTTAAAAAAACAACGTAAGACGTTTAATCAGTCAGCGTTTGTGACATCGATCTTTCTACCCGTGTGTCAATATGATGTGTGAGATATACCAGGTTGTTCCTCGTGATTAACCATATAACCATGGTAGCTGTTGCTTTTTCGTACAGTAGTACTCTTAGGAAATCAATGTATACAGTATAAATAAAACATATTGTGACGCATCACAGGTTGTCATTAGTTTGTCATTAGTTTAGTTCACCGACATTGATTCTTGACAGAACAGATGACTATCAATTAATTCTTACTTTCGTGAGCTGTTGCCCCATACATTATAACGTAAGACCAGCTAGTCACGGGGAGATCTTTGTCGGGGAATAATCAAGTATGAAGAAAATAATAATAATGAAAAACAGTTGATTGAAAGGAGAAATTGGATTATCCCCAGTCAGGCTCCAATAGTCACACTCGATGACAGGTCCTATGCAGAAAATAAAATAATTATAATTCTCTATTGTATGGTTCACAAGTAGTTTCGAGGTTGGTCGAAATAAGTAGAAGAATCTCGTGACCTAACAGAATTGTGTTTTTTTATTAATAAAGTCGCGAAAACACGAATAGCAAGTTAAGTACTGAACCAATATTGAGATAAGGTATCAAAATAAGGGGCTGAACATAAGCTACCCGAAGGTGCTATTAAGCATTGAAAGCAAGATATGAACAATTAGTAATTATAATCTGGCAAAAATGACTTTAAATACATGAGAAATATCTATGTAGAACTAGATAATCTCGCTCCTGCGTGAAAATCAAAGTTACTAAAACACCTTCCACATGAATATGCTTGTACACACATTGGAGACAGCATTTATCAAATTGACACATGACAAGAGCATTAGATTAAAATGCTTGAGAATTATACAGATAACAAATTCTCGAGCGATGGCTTGTAGCGATCAATCATTAACACAAAGACCTGAAGCCGAGAGGCCTACCGCTTGACAGAGATGAGTAGGGGGCGCTACGGTCACTGGACCGTTACGAGCTGGGGTTTACGACGCGTTGACACCGAGAAATGGGAGGTATTGTCCAAGAGATCCAACAAGATCCTTAACTCAATAAAGTATAAGCTGGATGCTGGGTTTTGAATTTGATATAAATATGTACACCTTGATGATGTATGCACAATGTCATCCCTGTTTGCACAGTGGTTTCCGAGAAAACATGGCCTCATTGGAGGTTCTGTACACCATGTACAAATGATCAAACAAGACTATAACATACATGTACATGTTCGATGCCGGTTTTCGAACTCGCATCAATATATTGTAGTATTTTTGTGTTCCTTATAATGCTAAATTGTTTATTATTGTAGGGATCAGAAGAGGTCAGCGAAAACGTCTTCATTGAAGTCGGACACCCCTTTCGGGTCAGAGGATAAACATATAACAATAAAGTAGGGATCCAAGTTCGTTTTGGAATAGAGTGTCGTTGGGAATGTAATATATTTATGTAAAATTAATTATTATGACAATATTCTCCTATTCTTTGCATTCAAAGGCTACTTTTGCTTTTATATGATAATTGGTATAATACTGAGATTGTTTGAAAACATGAGTGTATTTCAACAATTTTGGCGACACGTATGGGGTGCTTGAGACCTATACAGATCCGGGATTCCTGAGGGATGTATCAAGGCAATTGCCTGTTCAGAGTTGCGTCCCTGGTCACGCCAGAATCTTATGATCTTGGGTTCGAATCCCGGTTCTGCCCGATATCTTTTATCTAGGTTTGCCACACCATGCCTGTTCTCAAGGGTTTTACCAAAGTAGTAAATGTCTGAGACCTGCATCACTTCGGGCTTCCCTCCCATATTAAGCTGTCACGCCGTGATATAACTGGACTACTGAGGTCTTGGTAGGAGTAGTGAGACATGAAGGAAGATATGTCAACACGAGGGCCTATTCGACCTTTCTCACAAAGACCGAATTCGAGGTCGTGAACCCATTTGTAAACCAACACCTTCTTAGATTGATACTCGCATAATACAAGTATGTTGTATTTATTTGAAACCTATATAGTATGGGCTCGACGAAAGCTCATTAATATGTTAGCACTTGAACAGACGGCGGGCGACGCACGTTGTCACAAAACCAAACGCCATATAGAGTATTACAAAAGCGTTATTGCATAACAAGCAGGTGAACTTTCACGCTACAGGTTGAGTTTCAAGAGGCCGAAATCACTATATGTATTACCTGATGTCGATCGAACCTATGTGTTAGCGTGACTTGAATTTCGAACTGATGTTAATGAGGTCAGTATAATTTGAATATTAATTCCTATGCATTTAATTAATCATAATCGCTTTGTGTAAAATGATGAATGTACGTTGTGATGGTGAGCTGCGAGGGATGATTGAACATTTCAGAACTCAACTATGATGGTCGGTGTTGATGGTGTTTGTTGCATAGTATTTGTCCACATAATCATCTCCGAGGTCCACACACTTCTGCTAACGGTGCTAGGGTGCCTGGATTCGACTGGTTTTGAAGGCTTCCTCCTGGTGATGTAGAGAGTCCTCCACAGAAGAAATTACTTCATTATTTTTTGCATAATGCTTGCCAGACAGTATTTTCTTCAAGTTTGGGAAGAGTTGGAAATCTGCGGGTGCCTAATTTGGGGAATACGGAAGATGTTCAAGGTGTTCCAAGCCACATTTATGCATTGCAGCAATTGGTGCACATGTGCTTTGTCTTGATCGAACATTCCACCTTTAATGTGTTTTCGTGATATTTTCGTGAAATTACTGTCCTTTCGAGGGGTAGTCCGCCAGAAGGAATCCCAGAGAACCGATGCCACCTTGCCAGCTTATGGATCAGACTTTGCCTTCTTCTTCGGAGGAGACTTTCCACTGCTTTGACTATTGTTTGTTCTCTGGCTGGTAGTTATGAACCCAAGACTAATTATAATCCATGGTTACAAATAACACAACAAAATAGCTTGGTCTGCTTCATAAAGGGATATGAATGAACCGGGAGCGTCTCCGATCATAAGCAATGGAATCCAGCATGCTGAAACCTTTGTCATTCCCTATTCATTCCTTAAAATGTTCCCAACTCTCTACTGTGGAGTGCCCACTGTATCGGCTATGTGACGTGTGGTGAGTGGTTAATCACATGTATTCATTTCATGAATGTTATCAATATTCTACTTAGTGGTGGCAGTTGAATGTCTTCCTGATCTCCTTCCTGACCTCTTCACATTTGCAAAGGAAGGGTCACCATCCTCTCAAATTTACACCATGTCCGCATGGATGGCTATCGGAGTTAAAGATACTCGTAGACAGTACTTTTGGCACGTTCGTTCATTTCATCAACAAAGAATACCTAGTCACTCTGATGCCGCAGAAATATGCTGCCTGGTTGTGTATTTGGTTCAAATGCAGCCTCTGGCCATGGGCAGGTTTATACTTATACTTATACGTATACATGCAGACTGTTAAGCGTGTACTTTACCTCCTTCATCGTTAGGCTCAGAACTTTTCAGCCACTCGTCTGTATAGTACCAGCTGTTTATTAAAATAAAGCATTTTTGTTTCAGGTTTATGGAATCATGGAAGTCTGGCTATTGTTTTGCATTAGCTTAAGTATTATCGATTGTGTAATGAGGCCATCGACATTAGGTATGTATGTATGATTGCAAATAAATTAAATACCAGTCATATGTTTTATTTCACTATTATACCCCTTTCATATTATGTCAAGATATAATTGACAGTGCTTATATAATTATTGCTTACTTATCCCGGGGTATTTTCCAGGATAGAATTGTTCCCAGAAACCTGTGCTGGTACCCTGAGACGACTTCATTGCTTGGGTGACTTGGTTGAAGCATGTAACTCGACAGCGAGGGATGTTGCTCATAATATCGACCACTTATTTGTGTGACCCAGTCTCGATTATGTACTAGCCGCTGTCATGTAGCTTGAACATGGCGTTAAACAAAACCACGCTAACAATCGTACATACTTCAACTTAATTTTAATGGCGTTAGTACGGAGTCCAACAGGAACAGGCTAAATAACAGGCTTTCATGTCGTGGGTTCGGATAGTGATCTGTGGTGTTTGCAATGGTTTTGTTGTAAGCGTCCACGACCTACGTCATGTTGGCCCCATTAAATGGAAACACTGCAAGATAGATAAATACTGTTTAAACATGTTAAAACCTATCTATCTTCCTCGAATTGTTTAGCTGCAGCCGAATGTCAAGAACCGGATCCAGTCTCTCACGCCTACAGGAACTTGGAGGCCGAAAAAGTGACCTATGAGTGTATGGACAGATTCCGACAGGTCGGGAGTGGCAAGCGCAAGTGTTCCTCTGATATATGGAAAAATGGAACTGCCAGCTGTACAAGTGAGATTTTATACGCTTCACTTATCTATATTTTTTATACTGCTAACCACAAAATCCCTAATCCCCAGATCTGAGGGTGCCCTGTGTACATCTAGCATACATATATCTCAGTTTACACTGTGTACGTCTAGCATGCATATATCTTAGTTTACACTGTGTACACCTAGCATGCATATATCTCAGTTTACACTGTGTACGTCTAGCATGCATATATCTTAGCTTACACTGTGTACATCTAGTATGCATATATCTTAGATTACAATGTGGACACTTGGCATACATATATCTCTTAGATTACACTGTGTACACCTGGCATACATATATCTCAGTTTACACTTGTACATCTAGTATGCATATATCTCAGTTTACACTTTGTACGTCTAGCATGCATAAATCTTAGTTTACACTGTGTACATCTAGCATGCATATATCTTAGTTTACACTGTGTACGTCTAGCATATATATATCTTAATTTACACTGTGTACATCTAGTATGCATATATCTCTTAGATTACAATGTGGACACCTGGCATACATATATCTCAGATTACAATGTGTACATCTAGTATGCATATATCTTAGTTTACACTGTGTACATCTAGCATGCATATATCTCAGTTTACACTGTGTACGTCTAGCATGCATATATCTTAGTTTACACTGTGTACATCTAGTATGCATATATCTTAGATTACAATGTGGACACCTGGCATACATATATCTTAGATAACACTGTGTACATCTAGTATGCATATATCTCAGTTTACACTTTGTACATCTAGCATGCATATATCTCAGTTTACACTTGAACATCTAGCATGCATATATCTTATTTTACGATGTGTACATCTAGCATGCATATATCTTAGTTTACACTGTGTACATCTAGTATGAATATATCTTAGTTTACACTGTGTACATCCATCATGCATATATCTTAGTTTGCACTGTGTACACCTACCATGCATATATCTCAGTTTGCACTGTGTACATCTAGCATACATATATCTTAGTTTACACTGTGTACACCTAGCATGCATATATATCAGTTTACACTGTGTACACCTTGCATGCATATATCTTAGATTACACTGTGTACATCTAGTATGCATATATCTTAGTTTACACTGTGTACATCTAGTATGCATATATCTTAGATTACACTGTGTACATCTAGTATGCATATATCTTATTTTACACTGTGTACATCTAGTATGCATATATCTCTTAGATTACAATGTGGACACCTGGCATACATATATCTTAGATTACACTGTGTACATCTAGTATGCATATATCTTAGTTTACACTGTGTACATCTAGCATGCATATATCTTAGTTTGCACTGTGTACACCTACCATGCATATATCTCAGTTTCCACTGTGTACATCTAGCATACATATATCTTAGTTTACACTGTGTACACCTAGCATGTATATATCTCAGTTTACACTGTGTTCACCTAGCATGCATATATCTTAGATTACACTGTGTACATCTAGTATGCATATATCTTAGTTTACACTGTGTACATCTAGTATGCATATATCTTAGATTACACTGTGTACATCTTGTATGCATATATCTTAGATTACACTGTGTACATCTAGTATGCATATATCTTAGATTACAATGTGGACACCTGGCATACATACATCTGAGATTACACTGTCTACATCTAGTATGCATATCTCTTAGCTTACACTGTGTACACTTAGCATGTATATATCTTAGATTACACTGTGAACATCTAGCATGCATATATCTTAGATTACAACGTGTACTTCTAGTATGCATATCTCTTAGTTTACACTGTGTACACCTAGCATGTGTATATCTTAGATTACACTGTGAACATCTAGCACCCATATATCTTAGATTACACTGTGTACATCTAGTATGCATACATCTGAGATTACACTGTGTACACCTGGCATACATATATCTTAGATTACAATGTGGACACCTGGCATACATATATCTTAGATTACACTGTGTACATCTAGTATGCATATATCTCGGTTTACTCTTTGTACACCTAGCATGCATATATCTCAGTTTACACTGTGTACACCTAGCATGCATATATCTTAGATTACACTGTGTACATCTAGTATGCATATATCTTTGTTTACACTGTGTACATCTAGTATGCATATCTCTTAGTTTACACTTGAACATCTAGTATGCATATATCTTAGATTACAATGTGGACACCTGGCATACATACATCTTAGATTACAATGTGAACACCTTACATACATATACCTCAGATTACAATGTGGACACCTTGCATACATATATCTCAGATTACAATGTGGACACCTGGCATACATATATCTTAGATTACAATGTGGACACCTTGCATACATATATCTTAGATAACAATGTGGACACCTTGCATACATATATCTCAGATTACAATGTGGACACCTGGCATACATACATCTTAGATTACACTGTGGACACCTGGCATACATATATCTTAGATTACAATGTGAACACCTGGCATACATATATCTTAGATTACAATGTGGACACCTTGCATACATATATCTTAGATAACAATGTGGACACCTTGCATACATATATCTCAGATTACAATGTGGACACCTGGCATACATACATCTTAGATTACAATGTGAACACCTTACATACATATATCTCAGATTACAATGTGGACACCTGGCATACATATATCTCAGATTACAATGTGGACACCTGGCATACATATATCTTAGATTACAATTTGGACACCTTGCATACATATATCTTAGATAACAATGTGGACACCTTGCATACATATATCTTAGTTTACAATGTGGACACCTGGCATACATACATCTTAGATTACAATGTGAACACCTTGCATACATATATCTCAGATTACAATGTGGACACCTGGCATACATATATCTTAGATTACAATGTGGACACCTGGCATACATATATCTCAGATTACAATGTGGACACCTGGCATACATACATCTTAGATTACAATGTGAACACCTTGCATACATATATCTCAGATTACAATGTGGACACCTGGCATACATATATCTTAGATAACAATGTGGACACCTGGCATACATATATCTTAGATAACAATGTGGACACCTGGCATACATATATCTTAGATTACAATGTGGACACCTGGCATACATATATCTTAGATTACAATGTGGACACCTGGCATACATATATCTCAGATTACAATGTGGACACCTGGCATACATACATCTTAGATAACAATGTGGACACCTGGCATACATATATCTTAGATAACAATGTGGACACCTTGCATACATATATCTTAGATTACAATGTGGACACCTGGCATACATATATCTTAGATAACAATGTGGACACCTGGCATACATATATCTTAGATTACAATGTGGACACCTGGCATACATATATCTTAGATTACAATGTGGACACCTTGCATACATATATCTTAGATAACAATGTGGACACCTTGCATACATATATCTCAGATTACAATGTGGACACCTGGCATACATATATCTTTGATTACAATGTGGACACCTGGCATACATATATCTTAGATTACAATGTGGACACCTTGCATACATATATCTTAGATGGTACTGTCGACACCTGGCATACATATATCTTAGATTACAATGTGGACACCTGGCATACATATATCTCAGATTACAATGTGGACACCTGGCATACATATATCTTAGTTTACACTGTGTACATCTAGTATGCATACATCTTAGATTACAATGTGGACACCTGACAATCATATATCTTAGATTACACTGTGGACACCTGACAATCATATATCTTAGATTACACTGTGGACACCTGACAATCATATATCTTAAATTACATTGTGGACACCTGACAATCATATATCTTAGATTACACTGTGGACACCTGACAATCATATATCTTAGATTACACTGTGGACACCTGGCAATCATATATCTTAGATTACATCGTGGACACCTGACAATCATATATCTTAGATAACACTGTGGACACCTGACAATCATATATCTTAGTTTTCTCTATGTACACCTGTCATCCACATATAATCGTTAGCACTTTGTACACTTAGGATTCATGTATTGTTTGCACTGTATACAGATAACACCCATCTATCTTAGTTTTCGATGTGGAAATTTAGCCTTCATATATGTCTTCGTTTTCTCTGTGGACATCAGGGCCCACTTGCACAAAGCGATCTTAGCACTAAGACTATTGTAAGCCTATGCTAAAGTATTGGAGTTACGATCATCTTAGCGCTAAGATCGCTTTGTCCAAGTGGGCCCTGGACTTCATAATATATATATTTTAATTTTCGCTATGGACATCTAGACTTCATATATATCTTACATGTAGTTTCTACTGTCTACGCAGGACATCCATAAAAAACTATACACTATATGCCCACACATATGGCATACATTTTCCATGTACTATTAATGATGTAATGTAACACATGCTTTTGTATCATTACACTATTTTAATAGCATGAGCTTTTATTTTGCATTGCCTCTGTGGGGAGACACAACTGAGATCGAGTGCTCTCGCTCAGTGATTTTGCTGATTGCATGCCATTGTATCCCCATAGCGAACTCACTGGTTTGTCTGGTCCAGACTAATGTACAGCGCGCCGTGATATCGCTGAAATATTGCTGAATGCGGCGTTAAACAACAGTCACTTACTATTGACTCTCATGTAATTGTCGCACAGTCGACTGTGGAGTCCCGAGTGAGGGGGTCGGGGCCACCGTGACGTACAACGACACCCTGGAAGGATCTGACGCCACGTACGCCTGCAAAACAAACTTTACCACCAGAAACTCAGAGAATATCACTCGTACCTGCATGAGGACGGGGCTGTGGTCGGGGACTCCATTGAAGTGCACAGGTATGTAATCAATGTGTTCAGGTACGTATGTTAGTCAAGGTGCATCGGGATGATCAGGGACTTGACAGGTATGTAAGGTGGTGATGGCGTGTACAGGTATGTAAGATGATGATAATGATGTACAGGTATGTAAGATTTGATGATGTACAGATATGTAAGATGATGATGATGTACAGGTATGTAAGATGATGATAATGATGTACAGGTATGTAAGATGATGATGATGTACAGGTATGTAAGATGATGATAATGATGTACAGGTATGTAAGATTTGATGATGTACAGATATGTAAGATGATGATGATGTACAGGTATGTAAGATGAAGATGATGTACAGGTATGTAAGATGATGATGATGTACAGGTATGTAAGATGATGATAATGATGTACAGGTATGTAAGATGATGATGATGTACAGGTATGTAAGATGATGATGATGATGTACAGGTATGTAAGGTGGGAATGACGGTTACAGGTATTTAAGGTGGTGATAACGTATACAGGTATGTAAGATGACACTGATGTACAGGTATGTGAGATGAAGATGATGTACAGGTATGTAAGATGATGATGATGATGTACAGGTATGTAAGGTGGGGATGATGTACAGGTATGTAAGATGATGATAATGATGTACAGGTATGTAAGATGATGATAATGATGTACAGGTATGTAAGATGATGATGATGATGTACAGGTATGTAAGGTGGGAATGATGGTTACAGGTATTTAAGGTGGTGATAACGTATACAGGTATGTAAGATGACACTGATGTACAGGTATGTGAGATGAAGATGATGTACAGGTATGTAAGATGATGATGATGTACAGGAATGTAAGGTGGGGATGGTGATGTACAGGAATGTAAGGTGGGGATGGTGATGTACAGGAATGTAAGATGATGATGATGATGTACAGGTATGTAAGGTGGGAATGATGGTTACAGGTATTTAAGGTGGTGATAATGTATACAGGTATGTAAGATGATACTGATGTACAGGTATGTAAGATGATGATGATGTACAGGTATGTAAGATGATGATGATGTACAGGTATGTAAGATGATGATGATGTACAGGTATGTAAGATGATGATGATGTACAGGTATGTAAGGTGGGGATGATGCACAGGTATGTAAGATGATGATGATGATGATGATGATGATGATGATGATGATGATGATGATGATGATGATGATGTACAGGTATGTAAGATTATGATGATGTACAGGTATGTAAGATGATGATGTGTGCAGGTTTGTAAGATGATGATGATGATGTACAGGTATGTAAGGTGGGAATGATGGTTACAGGTATTTAAGGTGGTGATAACGTATACAGGTATGTAAGATGATACTGATGTACAGGTATGTGAGATGAAGATGATGTACAGGTATGTAAGATTATGATGATGTACAGGTATGTAAGATGATGATGTGTGCAGGTTTGTAAGATGACGATGATGATGATGTACAGGTATGTAAGATGATGATGATGATGTACAGGTATGTAAGATGATGATGATGATGATGTACAGGTATGTAAGATGATGATGATGATGTACAGGTATGTAAGATGATGATGATGATGATGTACAGGTATGTAAGATGATGATGATGATGTACAGGTATGTAAGATGATGATGATGATGTACAGGTATGTAAGATGATGATGATGATGTACAGGTATGTAAGATGATGATGATGATGTACAGGTATGTAAGATGATGATGATGATGTACAGGTATGTAAGGTGGGAATGATGGTTACAGGTATTTAAGGTGGTGATAATGTATACAGGTATGTAAGATGATACTGATGTACAGGTATGTAAGATGATGATGATGTACAGGTATGTAAGATGATGATGATGTACAGGTATGTAAGATGATGATGATGTACAGGTATGTAAGATGATGATGATGTACAGGTATGTAAGGTGGGGATGATGCACAGGTATGTAAGATGATGATGATGATGATGATGATGATGATGATGATGATGATGATGATGATGTACAGGTATGTAAGATTATGATGATGTACAGGTATGTAAGATGATGATGTGTGCAGGTTTGTAAGATGATGATGATGATGTACAGGTATGTAAGGTGGGAATGATGGTTACAGGTATTTAAGGTGGTGATAACGTATACAGGTATGTAAGATGATACTGATGTACAGGTATGTGAGATGAAGATGATGTACAGGTATGTAAGATTATGATGATGTACAGGTATGTAAGATGATGATGTGTGCAGGTTTGTAAGATGACGATGATGATGATGTACAGGTATGTAAGATGATGATGATGATGTACAGGTATGTAAGATGATGATGATGATGATGTACAGGTATGTAAGATGATGATGATGATGTACAGGTATGTAAGATGATGATGATGATGATGTACAGGTATGTAAGATGATGATGATGATGTACAGGTATGTAAGATGATGATGATGATGTACAGGTATGTAAGATGATGATGATGATGTACAGGTATGTAAGATGATGATGATGATGTACAGGTATGTAAGATGATGATGATGATGTACAGGTATGTAAGATGATGATGATGATGCAGACGCTCGATCAACTAGACCACAGATGCGGTTCAGTAAACGTTTGTAGGTAGTCTCGATGTGTACAGGTATGTGAGTGGTCTTGATGTGTAGAGGTATGCGAAGTGGTCTTGAGATGTACAGGTACATGAGGTTGTCATGGTGTGCACAGGTATGTTTGTAGTTGGTCACGGTGTGTATAGGTATGTGAAGTGGTCAAGGTATGTGAAGTGGTCAAGGTGTGCACAGGTATGTGAAGTGGTCAAGGTGTGCACAGGTATGTGAAGTGGTCAAGGTGTGCACAGGTATGTGAAGTGGTCAAGGTGTGCACAGGTAAGTAAAGTGGTCAAGGTATGTGAAGTGGTCAAGGTGTGCACAGGTATGTGAGGTGGTCATGGTGGGTACAGGTTCAGGAGGTTGTCACGTTGTCCACAGGTATGTGAGGTTGTCACAGTGTATTCAGGTATATGAAGTGGTCACGGTGTGTACAGGTTGACGGGGTGACAGTGTGCACAGGTATCTGAGGTGGTGACAGTGTGCACAGGTATATGAGGTGGTAACGTTGTGTACAGGTATGTGAGGTGGTAAGTGTGTGTACAGGTGTATGAGGTGGTCACGGCGTGCACAGGTATGTGAGGTGGTGACAGTGTGCACAGGTGTATGAGGTGGTCAAGATGCGTACCGGTATGTGAGATGGTTAAGGTGTGGGCAGGTACATGTATCTGAGGTTGTCACGATGTGCACAGGTATGTGAGATGGTTACATTGTGGGCAGGTGCATGAGGTGGCCATGATGTGTACAGGTATGTGAGATGGTTACATTGTGGGCAGGTGCATGAGGTGGCCATGATGTGTACAGGTATGTGAGATGGTTACATTGTGGGCAGGTGCATGAGGTGGCCATGATGTGTACAGGTATGTGAGATGGTTACGGTGTCGGCAGGTACATGAGGTGGCCATAATGTGTACAGGTATGTGAGATGGTTACGTTGTGGGCAGGTACATGAGGTGGTCATGATGTGTACAGGTATGTTAGATGGTTACGGTGTCGGCAGGTACATGAGGTGGTCATGATGTGTACAGGTATGTTAGATGGTTACGGTGTCGGCAGGTACATGAGGTGGCCATGGTGTGTACAGGTATGTGAGATGGTTACGTTGTGGGCAGGTACATGAGGTGGTCATGATGTGTACAGGTATGTTAGATGGTTACGGTGTGGGCAGGTACATGAGGTGGCCATGATGTGTACAGGTATGTGAGATGGTTACGGTGTGGGCAGGTACATGAGGTGGTCACGATGTGTACAGGTATATGAGATGGTTAAGGTGTGGGCAGGTACATGAGGTGGTCACGATGTGTACAGGTATGTGAGATGGTTACGGTGTGAGCAGGTGCATGAGGTGGTCACGATGTGGACAGGTATGTGAGATGGTTACGGTGTGGGCAGGTACATGAGGTGGTCACGATGTGTACAGGTATGTGAGGTGGTTACGGTGTGGGCAGGTACATGAGGTGGTCATGATGTGTACAGGTATGTGAGATGGTTACGGTTTTGGGCAGGTACATGAGGTGGTCACGATGTGTACAGGTATGTGAGATGGTTAAGGTGTGGGCAGGTACATGAGGTGGTCATGATGTGTACAGGTATGTTAGATGGTTACGGTGTGAGCAGGTACATGAGGTGGTCATGATGTGTACAGGTATGTTAGATGGTTACGGTGTGGGCAGGTACATGAGGTGGTCACGATGTGTACAGGTATGTGAGATGGTTAAGGTGTGGGCAGGTACATGAGGTGGTCATGATGTGTACAGGTATGTTAGATGGTTACGGTGTGAGCAGGTACATGAGGTGGTCATGATGTGTACAGGTATGTGAGGTGGTTACGGTGTGGGCAGGTACATGAGGTGGTCATGATGTGTACAGGTATGTGAGATGGTTACGGTTTTGGGCAGGTACATGAGGTGGTCATGATGTGTACAGGTATGTTAGATGGTTACGGTGTGGGCAGGTACATGAGGTGGTCATGATGTGTACAGGTATGTGAGGTGGTTACGGTGTGAGCAGGTACATGAGGTGGTCATGATGTGTACAGGCATGTGAGGTGGTTACGGTGTGGGCAGGTACATGAGGTGGTCATGATGTGTACAGGTATGTGAGATGGTTACGATATGGGCAGGTACATGAGGTGATGATGATGTGTACAGGTATATGAGATGGTTACGGTGTGGGCAGGTACATGAGGTGGTCATGATGTGTACAGGTATGTGAGGTGGTTACGGTGTGGGCAGGTACATGAGGTGATGATGATGTGTACAGGTACATGAGGTGGTCACGATGTGTACAGGTATGTGAGATGGTTACGGTGTGGGCAGGTACATGAGGTGGTCATGATGTGTACAGGTATGTGAGGTGGTTACGGTGTGAGCAGGTACATGAGGTGGTCATGATGTGTACAGGTATGTGAGGTGGTTACGGTGTGGGCAGGTACATGAGGTGGTCATGATGTTTACAGGTATGTGAGATGGTTAAGGTGTGGGCAGGTACATGAGGTGGTCACGATGTGTACAGGTTTGTGAGATGGTTAAGGTGTGGGCAGGTACATGAGGTGGCTAGAATGTGTACAGGTATGTGAGGTGGTCACGGTCTGCATATGTACAGTTTTATTTAGTCGTGCGGTAGTGATTGTGAACACAGGTAACTGATGCTATTGATGCGTGTACAGGAATAAAGAACATGTATAGACAGGTCGTATATATGCAATTTAGGTATATGGTATAAACAATATCCCCACATTGATACATTTTGGACAACTATATTCGAGGGATGTTTATCTCACATTAGTAGACGTTCTTTTCTTGTTGTTCAAAAAGTTTTCTACAGCTTTTATGACGTCATCGCTTGAGTTGAAATAGGTTCGTCATATTTGGGAACAGATAGAAGGCTGACGGAGCCAGATCAGGAGAAAAAGGTTTGTGCTGACGGAGTTCAAAGCCACACTCGTGGATTGCATCTATGGCAGTGGCCGATTTATGCAATGGCGCATTGTCCTGGTGGACACCTTTTCACCTCTGCCCAAGTCTCATGGTCTTAATTTCGTCCCGTAATTGTCTCAAACTTGCAGCATGATGTCTTCTGCACATTGTCGGACCTTTCCACCCTCGGTGTCCCAGCCACAACCTCGACCACAACCTTTCTAGCTGATTGGAGAAACTTTGCCTTTTGCCTGCTACTGTTTACTGTTTTGATTGCTGTTTGGACTCAACAAGCCTGGAAGTTGTGAAAATCAGGTTTCATCCTTAGTCACAAATCTTCAAACAGAGCTAGACATGTTGTGCCTTTTTATATACTTCTATCTAATGTTTACGACAACAGAGTTTACTGTTGCGAAATTCCTTCCATTTGAGGCTCTATGTAGATCAGACAGACATTCTAAACTTGACATGTATCTGTTCTCGCTCAGGCGCAGAGGATCTAGCAAGGGGGAAGTCAACGATGTATCCGGCCATCACGGACGGTAATGGGAAGACGTGTGCTTCGTTCCGTACCACCACCTTAACAGTCGCCCTTTCTAGCGACAGCAACATCTACTTCAGCGTGCACGAATTGGAGCTTGACTTGACCATCTACTCTCGTAAGGACATGTCCTATTTTCATAATGGGACGACAATAATATCAAGACAATTTTCAGAACAATAAAACTGATACAGAATGAAAGAAGTTCCTCTCTCAGGTGGTTTTCTTGCCAGTTCATTATATTACTGCCTGTCAGCTTACGGGGGGAACGGCAGACATATAGAACTTTAGATGAACCAGCAATACGGTTGCGAAGTGAATTGCGGTGCCTCAAACCACTTGCCCACCCCTGCTCATGAATAACGAGGATGAGGCCCGTGAAGATCCAGGATAGAAGAGGTCCTCAGCAACCCATGCTTGTCTCTCCCCACGAAGATCCGGGGTAGAATAGGTCTTTAGCGACTATGCTTTATCGTAATAGGCGACTAACGGGTCGGGTGGTCATGCTCGCTGACTTGGTTGATGCATGTCATCGTATCCCAATTGCGTAGATAGATGCTCATGATGTCAATCACTAGATTGTCTGGTCCAAACTCGATTATTTACAAACCGCCATCATACAGCTTGAATATTGCTGAGTGGGGCGTTAAACAACAAACAAACAAACACAGAGGATGAACTGTTGATTTCATTTTTAGTTTCTTCTATGTTCCAGAGACAGAGCTGAGGGTCACTGTGAAAACGCCTTCTTCCTGGCAGTTGTGCAAGCGTTTGGGTATCTACGACTCTGGCGTGTACAAGTTTACATGTACGACTCAACTGACAGGGACAGATATGAAAATAAATGTAACTAGTTCGAACACAAACCTAGCAAGGCCAAAGTTATGTGAAGTCAAGGTGTACGGTAAACAATACACAGGTGAGAACGACGAGCAGTTTTTGGTCTACACAAGTATCAGTATCAATATCAATAAGTATCAGACTTTGACTGTTGACTGATTATGTAGCGGTATTGTTTATGGAGTACCATTACATATGTCCTGATGCATACCTTGAAAAAACATATGCACCCACTATCTGCTTTCGTGTATCCGGAATCTCCAAATAGTTTTTAGATATACACTCTGACTTTGGTATACCGAACCTAGCAGGACCGTGTTGTAACTTTGAGTTAGGGAGGGCATGGACAGACACACAGATCAAGTAAAAGTAGCGTTCTGGGGGTTAGGTATTGTTGGTGTCAAGCTTTTGATCGCGAATGGTAGATCACTCCCAATACCACCAACCACACAGTTTTAATTATTTAAATTACCAGGAATAAATTTCACAACATAAAATCTCACCAAAGTGTCTTTGATATCAAATATATCAACGTGTCCAACATCATTCTTCAATTTGGGACAGAAATAAGCAGTGTCTTAAGTGTAAAAAGTACTGCTCACAGCTTCAGTAGCGGAGCCATTAGTGATGTCATTTGATTGTGACGTCATTGTTACCATGACGTGACAATGGTCTGCACCCTAGCGATATCTCCTGTGGGAGCCAGTTTTGGATGATAGGTGACAGGTGACAGACAAATATATATATATATATATATACAATTAGTAGACACAGTTTTCAAGAGGTCACAGTCAAAGATTTTAGGTAGGCTTCCATCTATTTCGATAATAATTAATTTAACTGAGGACAACGTATTATTCTAACGTGCATGATCAACATCTTTCAACAATGTTATTATTTTTCTGGCTGACAATTCCTTTCGTTTTCAACGGTCCGAAGCATCATCCTTTTTTTTCAAGCACTCTCTGCATGGATGCAGCAGAAAGAAGCCCATAGATTAGGTCGACCGTGTTGTATGTTGTCTTGATGTGTTTTCCAGCTGCAACTGCAAAACAAGACATTTTTAAATGTAAACAATCTTTCTAAATAATTTAAAAAATAATTCATCTTGCAACAACGTATCTTTTGTGGCTGAAAATTTGGTGTTTTTTTAACAGTCCGATGCACAATTATATTTTGCAAGCATTTTCTGGGACAATTCGGTCCCTGATGTACGTCAGTATCAACTGTAGATAAATTGAGAGGTGTCCCCTTAACTTGTCTATCACCATGCCAAGGTAAATCGAGGGCAGGTGTGATGTTCCAAGATGTTGGTCTAGCATGCCTGCTGAATTCTGTATTGGTATAGACAAGCAGTAAGGGCCTTCTCTCAATTTATCCACAGTTCCCTTTAAAATTCAACTTGAATCGTTTTTGACGTCACACTTCATTGTCAATTATTTGCGAACGTGATGTCACATGACCTTACATTGATATTGTCATCCACAAAAAACATTGAACGATGCAGTATCGTTGGAAAGTACTAGGCAATAAAAACTGAACAAAAATGTTCATCTAGAATTTGAGTTATACCATTACAGTTCATTGTTACTTGTACGACAAAGTATGTTGTATTGACCAAGGGGTCGGGACGCTAATCAGGATATCCTTGGGTTTGGAATTCGTGATTTAGACCGGGACGTTTATACAGTCTCTTGCGATTTGAATATAATGTTAGTTGTATTAAATAATTATATATTCTCAACATGAAAAAAAAGAGTAACCATGTTATATTACTGTGAAGAAGTTAATGACCTTCCGATTCTTTCATATTACTATAGATACTCTGACTTTTAATTTGGGGTGTAGAATATACTTCTCAAAAGAACCAAATTAAGAACCACCCGATTCTTCTAATGATATTAACAAAAGTAATGTGAAAGAATCCAGTGACCCTTAGTTCTTTTGAGTAGTTTATCTGGATACCCTAAATTAAAAACCCACGAAGATATCACCGTTAGAATTGGATGCCAGCGCTTTATTACTTGTGGTAAGAGACAACTATATTGGATCCGGTTCTCGAACTTTTGTATCGTCGTACCTAAAAAGCTTGCGACGTTTGTTGTATCATCAAACACTGGTTTGTCTGTCCCAGACTCGATCACTTACCATCCACTCACTAACCTTAAGGTGAAAGGAGCTATGAGTTCTTCAAAGCACCTACAGTTTAAAGATGGCAGGGTGACCAGAAGTTGATATAAATCCCACCGTCTTTCAAGTCCGCGTGTCTCCAGTTAGTAAGGTCACTTCATTAATCTACATTTTGTACCTCCTTGCAGGCGAGTGTGAGAACCCCCCTATTATCGTGGGAGCTCGGGCGAATTTGACAAGCACCTACTGGAATTCCACGGCAGTGTACAGCTGTGTGCCCCCCTACCGCTATGCTGGGGGGAGCAATGTTATAACATGTGGCTTCGATGGATACTGGACTAACCCTGGCATCCAGTGTAAAGGTAGGATGTTTGTGACCTTAGACTTCATAGTGAAGTTACACACCATCCCCTAATGCCCTGTCACACACCAACCCATAGTGTCCTGTCACACTACATCCCAGAGTGTCCTGTCACACACATTCCCATAGTGTCCAGTCACATACCATCCCATAGTGTCCTATCACACACCATCCCATAGTATCCTGTCACACACCTTTCAATAGTGTCCAGTCACACACCATCCCATAGTGTCCTGTCACACACCATCCCCATATTGGTTGTTACACACCATCCCATAGTGTCCAGTCACACACCATCCCATAGTGTCCAGTCACACACCATTCCATAGTGTCCAGTCACACACCATTCCATAGTGTCCAGTCACACACCATTCCATAATGCCCTGTCCCACGCCTTCATACTACGTCCCAGAGTGTTCTGTCACACACATTCCCATAGTGTCCAGTCACACACTATCCCATAGTGTCCTGTCACATACCATCCCATAGTGTCCTATCACACACCATCCCATAGTATCCTGTCACACACCTTCCAATAGTGTCCAGTCACACACCATCCCATAGTTTCCAGTCACACACCATCCCATAGTTTCCAGTCACACACCATCCCATAGTTTCCAGTCACACACCATCCCATAGTTTCCAGTCACACACCATCCCATAGTGTCCTGTCACACACCATCCCATAGTATCCTGTCACACACCTTCCAATAGTGTCCAGTCACACACCATCCCATAGTGTCCTATCACACACCATCCTATAGTATCCTGTCACACACCATCCCATAGTGTCCAGTCACACACCATCCCATAGTGTCCAGTCACACACCATTCCATAGTGTCCAGTCACACACCATTCCATAGTGTCCAGTCACACACCATTCCTTAATGCCCTGTCCCACGCCTTCACACTACATCCCAGAGTGTCCTGTCACACACCATCCCATTGTGTCCAGTCACACACCATTCCATAATGCCCTGTCACACACCTTCCCATAGTGTTCTATCATACCATCCCATAGTGTCCTGTCACACACCATTCCATAGTGTCCTGTCACACACCATTCCATAATGCCCTGGCCCACGCCTTCACACTACATCCCAGAGTGTCCTGTCACACACATTCCCATAGTGTCCTATCACCTACCATCCCATAGTGTCGTCTTACACACCATCCCATTGTGTCCAGTCACACACCATTCCATAATGCCCTGTCACACAACATGACATAGTGTCCTATCACACACCTTCCCATAGTGTCCTATCATACCTTCCTATAGTGTCCTATCATACCATCTCATAGTGTCCTGTCACACACCATCCCAAAGTGTCCTGTCACACACCATCCCATAGTGTCCTATCTCACACCTTCCCATTATGTCCTATCACATACCTTCCATTGGTATTCTGTCTCACACCATCCCACAGTGTCCTGTCACACACCATCCATTGGTATTCTGTCACACACCATCCCACAGTGTCCAGTCACACACATTCCCATTGTGTCCTATCACAAACCATCCCATAGTGTCCAGTCACACACCGTTCCATAATGCCCTGTCACACAACATCCCATAGTGTCCTGTCACACCCCACCCCATAGTGTCCTGTCACACACCATCCCATAGTGTCCAGTCACACACCATTCCATAATGCCCTGTGACAAGCCTTCCTATAGTGTCCTGTCACACTACATCCCATAGTGTCGTATCACACCATCCCATAGTTTCCAGTCACACACCATCCCATAGTTTCCAGTCACACACCATCCCATAGTTTCCAGTCACACACCATCCCATAGTTTCCAGTCACACACCATCCCATAGTTTCCAGTCACACACCATCCCATAGTTTCCAGTCACACACCATCCCATAGTTTCCAGTCACACACCATCCCATAGTTTCCAGTCACACACCATCCCATAGTTTCCAGTCACACACCATCCCATAGTTTCCAGTCACACACCATCCCATAGTTTCCAGTCACACACCTTCCCATAGTTTCCAGTCACACACCATCCCATAGTGTCTTGTCACACACCATTCCTTAATGCCCTGTCACACGCCTTCCTATAGTGTCATGTCACACTACATCCCATAGTGTCGTATCATACCATTCCATAGTGTCCAGTCACACACCTTCCCAAAGTGTCCTGCCACACACCATCCCATAGTGTGCAGTCACACACCTTCCCATAGTTTCCAGTCACACACCATCGCATAGTGTCCTATCACACACCATCCCATTGTGTCCTATCACACACTTTCCCATAGTGTCCTATGACGCACATTCCCATAGTGTGCAGTCACACACTTTACCATAGTGTCCAGTCACATACCTTCCCATAGTGTCCAGTCAAACACCTTCCCACAGTATCCTCTTACACATGTTCCCATAGTATCCTGTCACACACTATCCTGTAATGCCCTGATACACACCAACCCATAGTGTCCGGTACATACCATCCCATAGTGTCCTATCACACACCTTCCCATAGTGTCCTGTCGCACACCTTCCCATAGTGTCCTATCACACACCATACCATAGTGTCCTGCCACACACCATCCCATAGTGTCCTGCCACACACCATCCCATAGTGTCCTATCACACACCTTCCCATAGTTTCCAGTCACACACCATCCCATTGTGTCCTATCACACACTTTCCCATAGTGTCCTATGACGCACATTCCCATAGTGTTTAGTCACACACCTTCCCATAGTGTTCTGTCACACAACATCCCATAGAGTCGTATCATACCATCCCACAGTGTCCTGTCGCACACCATTCCAAAGTGTCCTGTCACACACCATCCCATAGTGTCCTGTCGCACACCTTCCCATAGTGTCCTATCACACACCATCCCATAGTGTCCTGCCACACACCTTCCCACTGTGTCCTATCACAATCATCCATTGGCATCCTGTCACACACCATTCCACAGTGTCCAGTCACACACCTTTCAATAGTGTCCTCTCACGCACCTTCCCATAGTGTGCAGTCACACACTTTACCATAGTGTCCAGTCACATACCTTCCCATAGTGTCCAGTCAAACACCTTCCCACAGTATCCTCTTACACATGTTCCCATAGTATCCTGTCACACACCATCCTGTAATGCCCTGATACACACCAACCCATAGTGTCCGGTACATACCATCCCATAGTGTCCTATCACACACCTTCCAATAGTGACCTGTCACACACCTTCCCAGAGTGTCCTGTCACACACATTCCGATAGTGTCCTATCACACACCTTCCCATAGTGCCCTGTCACACACAATCGCATAGTGTCCTATCACACACCATCCCATAGTGTCCTGTCACAGACCATTCCATAGTGCCCAGTCACACGCCTTCCTTTAGTGTCCTGTCACACTACATCCCATAGTGTCGTATCATACCATTCCATAGTGTCCAGTCACACACCTTCCCATAGTGTCCTATGACGCACATTCCCACAGTGTTAAGTCACACACTTTACCATAGTGTCCAGTCACATACCTTCCCATAGTGTCCTATCACACACCTTCCCATAGTATCCAATATCACACCGTCCCATAGTGTTCTGTCACACAACATCCCATAGTGTCGTATCATACCATCCCATAGTGTCCTGTCACACACCATTCCAAAGTGTCCTGTCACACACCATTCCAAAGTGTCCTGTCACACACCATCCCATAGTGCCCTGTCGCACACCTTCCCATAGTGTCCTGCCACACACCATCCCATAGTGTCCTGCCACACACCATCCCATAGTGTCCTGCCAAACAACTTCCCATAGTGTCCTGTCGCACACCTTCCCATAGTGTCCTATCACACACCTTCCCATAGTGTCCCGCCACACACCATCCCATAGTGTCCTGCCACACACCATCCCATAGTGTCCTGCCACACACCATCCCATAGTGTCCTGTCGCACAACTTCCCATAGTGTCCTGCCACACACCATCCTACATTGTCCTGCCACACACCATCCCATATTGTTCTGCCACACACCTTTTCCACTGTGTCCTATCACACATCATCCATTGGTATCCTGTCACACACCATCCCACAGTGTCCAGTCACACACCTTTCAATAGTGTCCTCTCACGCACCTTCCCATAGTGTGCAGTCACACACTTTACCATAGTGTCATATCACACACCTTCCCATAGTATCCAATCACACACCGTCCCATAGTGTTCTGTCACACAACATCCCATAGTGTCGTATCATACCATCCCATAGTGTCCTGTCACACACCATTCCAAAGTGTCCTGTCACACACCATCCCACAGTGTCCTGTCGCACACCTTCCCACAGTGTCCTGCCACACACCTTTCAATAGTGTCCTCTCACACACCTTCCCATAGTGTGCAGTCACACACTTTACCATAGTGTCCAGTCACACCCGTTCCCATAGTGTCCTGCCACATATCATCCCATAGTGTCCAGTCAAACACCTTCCCACAGTATCCTCTTACACATGTTCCCATAGTGTCCTGTCACACACCATCCTGTAGTGCCCTGTTACACACCAACCCATGGCCATAGTGTCCTGTTACATACCATCCCATAGTATCCTATCACACACCTTCCCATAGTGACCTGTCACACACCATTCCAAAGTGTCCTGTCACACACCATCCCATAGTGTCCTGTCGCACACCTTCCCATAGTGTCCTGTCACACTACATCCCAGAGTGCCCTGTCACACACCTTCCTATAGTGTCCAGTCACACTACATCCCAGAGTTTCCTGTCACACAACATCCCATAGTGTCTTGTTACACACCATCCCATAGATTCCAGTCACACACCATCCGATAGTGTCCTGTTACATACCATCCCATAGTGTCCTATCACACACCTTCCCATAGTGACCTGTCACACACCATCCCATAGTGTCCTATCACACTACATCCCAGATTATCCTGTCACACACCATCCCATAGTGTCCAGTCACACGCTTTCCATAGTGCCATGTCACACACCATCCCATAGTGTCCTGTCACACTACATCCCAGAGTGTCCTGTCACACACCTTCCTATAGTGTTCAGTCACACACCATCCCATAGTGTCCTGAAACACACCAACCCATAGTGTCCTGTCACACTACATCCCAGAGTGTCCTGTCACACACCATCCTATAGTGTCCAGTCACACAGCATCCTATAGTGTCTAGTCACACTCGTTCCTATATTGTCCTATCACACACCATCCCATAGTGTCCTATCACACACCATCCCATAGTGTCCAGTCACACACCATTCCATAATGCCCAGTCACACGCCTTCCCATAGTGTCCTGTCACACACCATCCCCTAAAGGGTTGTCACACCCCAACCCATAGTGTCCTGTCACACTACATCCCAGAGTGTCCTGTCACACACATTCCCATAGTGTCCTGTCAACCACCATCCCATAGTTTACTGTTAAATAAATAAATAAATAAATAAATAAATAAATGTGGGTACAGCTCAGGCTTTGTTTATTTCCCCTTCCAAATATTAAATATATATATACCAGGAAACACAAAACAAAAAAGTCTTCAACAATCTTATTTAAGAAATGGACAATGTTGCCCGAGAAGCTGCTGACGTCAACCAAGATTTGATCGACGACCTCAGCAGCACGTGTGTTGATACTAACGTGGTTGAACTGAAACTGAAGACGCGTTATGAAGTTCATTGGATCGTCGTATCTACGCTGAGAAGTAAGCAGTTGTGGTCAAGTAAACGTTTGCTCAATTTCCATTTAACTAATAACTAATTACTGGGTGGGGTGCGAGGGTGCGGGATGTGTGTGGTGTGTGTGCATGAGATAGATGTAATGTGCAAACGCGGGAGCACATAGACGCCAGATGCTGATAACTTCAGGACGTGTGAATGTTGAAAATTGTCTTGTGTCCAATAGTACAAATGATGTTTCTGTGGATGTATCTTCATTAGACACATCAATAGAATGGGGAGACGCCATGTCTGTGAGTCTGATGGTAGATGACAACGAACCGACCAAGGTCTGCCAGCAGACGTCCCCTGCAGCATCAATGGAGGGATACGATATGACAGCTTTTGTGTGTCGGGGATACCCATTTGCAGACATGGTGACCGTCGAGGCGAAACATTCCTTAACAATCTGTGAGATCGAAGTGTATGGCCGAAATGCATCACAAGGTGGTATGTGTATCACACTCATTCTTCATTTCAATAACATTGCATCTCTGCTGTCTCTTGCTGACTGTTTCTTGATGTCAAATGTGTAAGTAAAAATCAACAGATTTGTCTCTTTCGAATTTTATTTCAAATTCAACAGCAAATCGCTTTCCCCAGAGTGATATTTTATAACTTGTATTGGCAGGATCGAAGCCAAGAAACTGCCAGGGTGAATCTTGCATGCCGAGACCAAACACCCATTCACATTGGTTAAAAGTGATTTTCATTGTCAGGAGTTATGTCGTTATATAGAGAATCTTACCCAAGTGTCTTTTGATATCAAATATATCAACAAGTATACATGTATATCAAGACAAGATTTTATTTATCATCCAACATTATTTTTCTAACCTTTTCAGTTTGTAGACAGTAATAAGCAGTGTCTGAAGTGTAAAAAGTACTGCTAACAGCTTCAGTAGCAGAGCCATAAGGGGGGACATTTGATTGTGACATCATGGTTACAAATGACGTCACAATGATCTGCAAAGCATTGTGATGCCATTTCATTGCAGCGATATCTACAATGTAGATATCGCTTGATCTCACCTAAGCGATTTCCCCTGTGGGACCCCGTTTTGGATGATAAAAATTATTCTGATCTTTCATCAAATTTCAATATTTCCTTTAGTTACTTTTTTATGAACATTTTTGTATTTGAGTAGTTGGGAAAGATAATCAATAGAAGGGTGTGTGGGTGGCAACACTGTTAAATATATAGCGACGCAATAAATAAGATCTTAGCATCTTATATGCCCCAAACAAGGTCCATTCAATTTTCTACCTCATTCTACAGGGTACCCTTTAATTGGTAGGTGAACAAATTTCGATTTTCACTTTCTTATAACCCGTATTTGTATAGCATGTGTATTAGATCATTGCATGACTGAAGCGCTCGCTCGATACGAGGGTTGATTGATAAGTTCATAGCCTTACGTAGCAGACAAATGGAAAGACTTGAGGAACGTGCAGGACTTGATCAATGCAAATTCCTCAAGTTTGACAATTTTAAAATTTCACAGACCCCTGCTTATTTTACTGACTTGGATATACCTCACGACATCATGTAATGTCCACAAGAAACATTTCACAAAAAAGCAGTTCCTTCTATGTGAACTTATCAATCAACCCTCGCTAAAGAAGCCCGATCATACCTCCATGCCAAAATGATGAGAACTGATTGGTTCACGTGATCCTGATAAAATACTATGTACTCTGCAGGGAGGGAAATACATTTCTGTTATATAACGCACTCAGTAATAACAACTATATCTAGTTCTTCAGTGCATGCAAACAAGCCAAGGACATGACTACAAAGGCGACATGAACTACACCGTCACGGGCACCCCTTGCATCGACTGGAATGAAACAAAGTACACCATCGACCAATTTGCAGATTACTCCTTCAAAGACATCGGCAGAAGATGCAGGGCACCAACAACAACCAACGACCAACCCCCGTTCTGTTTCATAACACCTAGTAAAAGGGAATACTGCCCCATTCCACACTGCGGTAATAAACAGATTTTCAGCTACCTACGTTCGGAGTTCATCAGTTCGAATTCCGGTTTGTGCTGATTATATTTTTCTCGGTTTGTCAGCACCATACCCTGTTCGTAGGTTTGACCAAAGTGAAGACGTAAGACCTGCATCACTTTGGTCTCTCCTCCCACATGAAGCTGACACGCCGTGATACAACTGAAATACTTTCAAAGCGGCGTTTATCGGAGTTAATAAGTATTTATCACCGAACTCATTCATTCATGCTTCGTTCTTGATATTGTTTAAGATACGAAATTACAATGGTTTCAATATAATATTTTGCGTCATATTTTACCAACAAATAAGTTATTATTTAAAATGGGAAACATCTACGTGGATTACAACTTACGGAGGACACTGTAATGACACAATTGAAACTGTTGAACATATGCTTTGGTATTGTAATTGTGTCAACTCCCTCTGGACACCGTTCGAACAATGGTTATAACATATATCACGGGCTACAAATCAACTAAATAAAAGGAGTGTATTCATAGGATCCACAGTACACATTCCTGAACATGTTAACCTGTTAATAAATTTGTGCAAAGTGTAATATTCAGACACAAAACGTTTAAAAAGGTAGGTAGCCAAATAAGCTGAGGAATATATATAGTACGTCTCATTTAATTTTATCATATGTTTGGTTTTTAATTGAAAATGTCTCAAATTATATATTCAAAAGGAATGAAGTGTACTGGTTCTATGTAGCACTCAAAGAATACTGCGGCATGGTTTTGTTTTTAAAAAATAATTTGATTTAAACTTTTACCCCTGCCCAAATTAAACATACGCAACTGCCGATTGGTTTCTTAGAGTCTTATATTTGAAAATAAACAAAATGTGCTTTTTTCGGCACAAATGTATAACATTTCCAACAGGATATGGGTCATGTGGTTGCAAATTCATTTCTTACCTCAGTCTTTATTGAAACGGGCGGTGGGGTAGCCTAGTGGTTAAAGCATTCGCTCGTCACGCCGAACCATACTCACTCCCTCACTCTTTATTGAAGCAATTTATTTTTACAAAAAAATACCCAGTCACAGATTACGTTGCTCAAACTTGGTATACTTTCTTTTGTCCCTAAGTTTATGTATTGGTATAAAAATCACTTCGCTGGTCAAGTTGTCATCATCTCTTTGTACAGCAGTGAACAGTGAACAGTGCAAATATACTGAACCAAATTAAAAACTTCACAATCCTAAAATTTAACATTTTGACAAGTTATCATTGTCGGCCCTTATTGTGTATTTAAACAGTAATGGCCACGTATTGTCTTCAGATAACACCCGTTTTTGTGCAGGTGAATCGATCAAAATCATGTGCACAGCACTATAGTGGCAAAAGTGTTTTTTCACGTGCAACTGGTCACGTGGCCATGATACCGCACGTGTTTTCAGCCATACTTGTTAGCAGTCATTAACAAAAAAAGAAAAACACAAGAAAACAAAAGTCTTTACGGCCTTTTGTCATGCCACGCCTTTCAAATGTGCAACGTGAACGTGCCATCGGCATGTTGCAAACGGAAACGTCCGTAGCTGAAGTCGCAAGGACGATAGGTTGCGACGGACTGTTTATGATTTACAGACGCGTCTACAGCAAACGGGTACCACCGCTGATCGCCCTCGGCCAGGTCGACCACGTGTGACGTCACATGCAGAGGATCGTCAGATTGTATTACGTCACCTCCGTAACCGATTTTTAACGGCTACATCAACCAGAAATGAACTGTTTAGGGGTAGACTGAGTGCGCAAACTGTTCGAAACCGTCTGAGAACTGCTCACCTTCAAGTACAACGGCCATACTGCGGGCCGATTCTGACTCAATTACACAGACGTCAGCGTCAGTTATGGGCACAGCGACACTTACGATGGACATAGAGGAATTGGAATCAAGTCGTCTTCAGTGATGAATCCCGATTTAATCTTCGATTTGCTTATGGTAGGGCGAGGGTGTGGAGGCGCCGTCCTGAACGTTACGTCCAGTGTTGTGTACAGGAAGTTGACAGATTTCGAGGCGAAAGTGTCATGGTGTGGGGTGCTTTCTGTGGCAATGTACGTGCCAGGCTTCTTGTCAACCGTGGCAACCTCAACGCTGCTGCTTACCGCGACCAGGTACTGGCACCAGAACTTCTGCCTTTTATGGCAGCACATGGACCCGGTTTGATCTTCCAACACGACAATGCCAGACCCCACACAGCAATTTTGACAAGGATTTCCTTCAGAATGCGGGAGTCAACGTCATGCATTGACTGGCCGTCAAGGTCTCCCGACCTCAATCCCATCGAACAAGTCTGGGATGCTCTTGGCAGAAGTCTGCTCACTCTCCAGAACCAACCACAGAATTTGCAAGATCTTGGCACCATTTTGCAGCAACAATGGCGTCGTCTTCCCAATCATGTGTTCATAAGCATCACAAGGTCCATGCGGAGGCGTTGTGTGGCAGTTGTCAACGCACATGGTGGCCATACACGCTACTGAACTTGTGTGCCATCAGATTCTCGTGCTTGGGACTTATGGTTTAAACTGTTGATGTTATTACCGAATACCGTAGGTGCTTGCAACAAATTATGGTTACCACCGTTAATTTAAATCCTTCTTTGGACATTTATGATTAAAACTTACCTTCCCTGATACATTTGTCCGTTGAATATCATATATGGGATTACTTTTTAAAATGTGAAGTTTTTAATTTGACTCAGTATAGAATAAAATACAACAGAATGTTCTGTTATACAAAGGCCTTATGTTATGATAATATCATAAATTACATTCTGGTAAAAAGAACCTGAAGAATAAAGAATGGGTTTATTGGGGCTTTGTTTTTCGTCTTCAAAATCAATGGTAATGTATGTTTTGAAATAGGAGACTATTACTGACCTTTGGTGCATAACGGTACATGTTCCTCTCACAGACAGGGTATGTCGTCAAGGAGATGGCAGAACTTACTCTGGGTATGTGCGTGAAGCCAATGGTGCGCCTTGTCGTAGTTGGAATTTGGTTGCACCTCTTGAATTCGACCTCAATGGCCTCATCTCTGACAGAGACACGCCTAACTGCAGGAACCCACTTGGTTCTATGTCAAGACCATGGTGCTTCGTCGCAAGAGGAAACGCGTCCTTGTGCTCCATCCCCATTTGTCGTGAGTTTTCAGTTATCAGCAACTTTTGTGAAGCTATTTTGTTGTTTCACGCTGTTGTCAGCAGCACTCCAACTATAGATGAGATGAAATTGGGTTTAACATGGCGTCCAAGATTATTGTACTTATATAGCGACGTGCATGCATGTGTGTGTGTGTGTTCGTGTGTGTGTGTGTGTGTGTGTTCGTGTGTGTGTGTGTGTGTTCGTGTGTGTGTGTTCGTTCGTGTGTGTGTGTTCGTTCGTGTGTGTGTGTGTGTGTGTGTGTGTGTGTGTGTGTGTGTGTGTGTGTGTGTGTGTGTGTGTGTGTGTGTGTGTGACTGATGCCAATTTATGGTGCTTGTTCACTGAGACACCATGCCGCAGTTTACACATGAATACCCCACCCAGTCACAGTATACTGACTCCAAGCCGACCAGTCCTTGTTTTAGCCCCATTACGCCTAGCGCCAGAATCTGATGCAAGATGTGATACAGTGGAATCTGATGTAAGATGCGATACGGTAGAATTGTATTTAAGATGGTGCAGTGGAATCTGATGTAAGATGCGATATGGTTTTAATCTGATGTAAGATGTGATAAGTGGAATCTGATGTAAGATGTGATAAGTGGAATCTGATGTAAGATGTGATACGGTAGAATTTGACGTTAGATGTGATAAGTGGAATCTGATGCAAGATGTGATACAGTGGAATCTGATGTAAGATGCGATACGGTAGAATTGTATTTAAGATGGTGCAGTGGAATCTGATGTAAGATGCGATATGGTTTTAATCTGGTGTAAGATGTGATAAGTGGAATCAGATGTATGATGTGATACGGTAGAATTTGACGTTATATGTGATACAGATGAATCTGATGTAAGATGTGATACAGTGGAATCTGATGTAAGATGTGATACAGTGGAATCTGATGTAAGATGTGATACGGTAGAATTTGACGTTAGATGTGATACAGTGGAATCTGATGTAAGATGTGATACAGATGAATCTGATGTAAGATGTGATAAGTGGAATCTGATATAAGATGTGATAAGTGGAATCTGATGTAAGATGTGATACGGTAGAATTTGACGTTAGATGTGATAAGTGGAATCTGATGCAAGATGTGATACAGTGGAATCTGATGTAAGATGCGATACGGTAGAATTGTATTTAAGATGGTGCAGTGGAATCTGATGTAAGATGCGATATGGTTTTGATCTGGTGTAAGATGTGATAAGTGGAATCAGATGTATGATGTGATACGGTAGAATTTGACGTTATATGTGATACAGATGAATCTGATGTAAGATGTGATACAGTGGAATCTGATGTAAGATGTGATACAGTGGAATTTGATGTAAGATGTGATACGGTAGAATTTGACGTTAGATGTGATACAGTGGAATCTGATGTAAGATGTGATACAGATGAATCTGATGTAAGATGTGATAAGTGGAATCTGATGTAAGATGTGATAAGTGGAATCTGATGTAAGATGTGATACGGTAGAATTTGACGTTAGATGTGATAAGTGGAATCTGATGCAAGATGTGATACAGTGGAATCTGATGTAAGATGCGATACGGTAGAATTGTATTTAAGATGGTGCAGTGGAATCTGATGTAAGATGCGATATGGTTTTAATCTGATGTAAGATGTGATAAGTGGAATCTGATGTAAGATGTGATAAGTGGAATCTGATGTAAGATGTGATACGGTAGAATTTGACGTTAGATGTGATAAGTGGAATCTGATGCAAGATGTGATACAGTGGAATCTGATGTAAGATGCGATACGGTAGAATTGTATTTAAGATGGTGCAGTGGAATCTGATGTAAGATGCGATATGGTTTTAATCTGGTGTAAGATGTGATAAGTGGAATCAGATGTATGATGTAATACGGTAGAATTTGACGTTAGATGTGATACAGTGGAATCTGATGTAAGATGTGATACAGTGGAATCTGATGTAAGATGTGATAAGTGGAATCTGATGTAAGATGTGATACAGTGAAATCTGGTGTAAGATGTGATACGGTAGAATTTGACGTTAGATGTGATACAGTGGAATCTGATGTAAGATGTGATACAGTGGAATCTGATGTAAGATGTGATAAGTGGAATCTGATGTAAGATGTGATACAGTGGAATCTGATGTAAGATGTGATACGGTAGAATTGTATTTAAGATGGTGCAGTGGAATCTGATGTAAGATGCGATATGGTTTTAATCTGGTGTAAGATGTGATAAGTGGAATCAGATGTATGATGTGATACGGTAGAATATGACGTTAGATGTGATACAGTGGAATCTGATGTAAAATTTGTATTTCTGTCAACAGAGACCAACTGTTTTGCTACTTTAATGCATACACAAATATCAATAGCTGATGTTATTAACCTGCAAAACTTACTAATTGAATGTTGGATACATATGCTCACGCCATCTGAGTGTCGACCATACTCAGATGTAAGATGTGATACTGTGGTATCTGATGAAAGATGAGATACTGTGGAATCTGATGTAGATATAATACAAGATAGCAACCAAATATATGTCCTGGGATGTGACTTAATGTGGCTGACCTGATATATGTATGACCTGACGCATGGTTTGATCAGTTATTTGAAATATTACCTGACGAAAGACCTGATATCTATGATCTGAGGTATGACCTGTTGTATTACCCATTGTATCAGTTATTGTAAGTCGATTTTAGATCTCATGTATGACCTGAAGCATTAACTAATATTTGTATACTATTATTTACAGCAACCAATGTAGCTGTGAAAACATCCCTTCCTGATGTATCTTCTACCACAGAGGATGCAAAGGCAACATGTTTTTGCTGGAAGGGAACCTATACATTCTTTGAAGTTGCCTTGAGCCATTCTTATGAACACTGTACTCATGAGGATCAAACGCTAATGATGTGTTACACAGGGGATACGGAATGGACGTATTATTCCATAGGTATATATTATGTAAATTTATTTGAGAAAGGACAAATTGCGATTTTGGTGATAATGCTTCGTCTGTTTCATACCCTTCGAAACGTCGTTTTCCAATTGAGTGAGTGAGTGAGTGAGTAGTTGAGTGTAGCGATGATTTGAACATTAATCCAGTTAGATCACAGCTGTCAGCTTCATGAGGGAGGAAAGCCCGAAGTGATGTTGATCTCAGTCTTTTTCAAGCTTGGTGAAACCAACGAGCAGGGGTATGGTGCTGACACACCTAGAATCATAATCGGGCAGAACCAGGATTTGAACCCATGAATCGAGGTTTCAGACGTGCCTAAGAGACGCAACTCTGCACAGCAAATTGTGGCGGCTCAGATTCCTGGGACCAGCCTTGCCCCATGCCAAATGAGACAGATTAATACGTCTTCTGACTAAAACATAATTGGTGTGGAATATTATCTGTTTGTATTAATGTAGACGTTAAAGCAAGTATTTTTCGAGGATACAGGATTTCTTGGAACTCGTAGGATTTCAGTGTAGATTTCAAAATGATAAAACATAAGTATGCTTATTAATATGCAAACCTAATGAAAGTTATTTTAATGACAGGGCCTCGCGTGAGCAGCAGCAGTCTTTATGAGACGTCTAGTACCCTACAAGTTGCATTGACCTCCAGCAGTACCCCTGAGATGACCTTGACCAGCAGTACCCTTGAGATGACCTTGACCAGCAGTACCCCTGAGGTGACCTTGACCAGCAGTACCCCTGAGGCGAGCTCGACCATCCGTACCCCCTACCAAAGCTTCACAAATGTATCACCTGTCAGCACCAGCTTCGTCCAGTCATCATCTGTGTCAACAGACCATTCTCAAAGCAGTGAAACTTATAACCTATCAGCCTCCTCTTCAATATCCCTTTCAAGCAGTGACCAATCCTCAGTTGCCCCTTCAAATGAATCTTCTTCAAGCAGTATTCTTTCTATTTCACCATCGCTTACCGTTGCTGAACAAAATATATCCTCTTCCTTTGAACCATCAACGGAGTCGTCCCTTGATCTCTCGTCAGTAGTCACCGTGGGTGCCACAGAGGCTCTGACCACCACGGCCACACCAATCACGACGACTGCACCAAAACAAAACTGCCAGTGTCGCTGCAAGCGGAATCTAAGTACTTCGGCGTTATCTGAAGTCATGGATGAAAGGAAGGCAAACTTAACCGTAGATCGTCGAACAACCTCTGCCTTTATCCGGCAAAAGACGAGCGCCACAGACCAACGTCAAACTGCAACTGTGTCTGGGACAGTTTGCATGGCAATCGTTTCCGTCATGTTCTCATGCATCTTCATCCCTGACATCATCAGCGTGGCATCTTTCTTCATCAAATGCATCAAGAAATGGGGGTGATTTCTGATGTGAAGTGTTTGAGATAACTGTCGCTGATGCATTTGTAGATATTAGCATGTGTCTTCGTGTGTCCATGTTCTTGCGGTTGTAACATCTCTTCAGAGGGTAGTTTATCATTAGTCTAAGTGTATAATGTTTACTGTTGTTTAGAATTTAGCTGTAACGCCAACACGGTCATTACTCCTGTGAAGAATAGGCCTCGCTCGTACCAGTATTTTTGTTTTAAAAACCAATCAAATTGTAGTTTGTGAACCGACTGATGTTGTGTTATCGTACCCCCACAACATGAAAAGCCAGGTTTTTCTACTCCGGAACCTACACCTTCCTTCAGTTTTCTTGGTAATTTTCAAATATCTTTTTTGGTGTTTCAACCTTAAATGAAGAAAATGCACAACCTACTATCTATATTTCTAGAGAAAGGTTTTCGGAACATTTCCCGGTCGGAAACATTATGGTCTTAAAATCGGAAGGTATTTGGAAGGATTCTGGAAGGAAAATGTGCCCGTTGCCATTGATATGTTACTCTTGTTCCCACCCCCTCGTCTGGTTTGTTTGGTCTAGACTGGATAATGTACCGTTTTGCGATGGCGGTTTAACGCCGCTCTCAGCAATAGTCCAGCTATATGACGGCGGTCTGTAAATAATCGACGCCAGACAATACAGTGATTGATATCATGAGCATTGATCCTCACAATTGGAATACGATAACATGCATCAGCTTAGTCGGTGAGCCTGACCACCCTATCCCGTTATTCGCCTCTGACGACAAGCATGACACGATATGTAAAGTGTAAAATCACATCTGAGGATTGATCGTCCCTAGTCAGTTATTAGTACTCTGCAGTCAATTTTCCCACCCGATCCTCATAATAGTAGACAGGCCCCATGCAGCTGTCAAGGAACCAGTAAGAATTGTAATGTTAATCTGATGCACGTTGATGTTGTAACATGATTCCACAGTGACATATTTCCGACGATCTGTGGATTGTCTTTTCAAATACATGTACACTTAGTGAATACAGAGTTGATTGCCACCAAGTGACGTTGTTCAGAAAGCTACTTAGGTGTATGTTTCGTTTGTGTTACATGAAAGTTTTTAATTGTATGATATTGAAAACATAATGATGACAACCAAAATAATAGAATATATAATTCCACAGAAGACGTCTAAGGGCACATGTTTTTATCCCAGTGATAAGCGTCCATTCAAAAGCATTCTCAGCTCCCTGGGGATCATACACCAATCAATCATGCGTCCTGGTACATACTGCTTGTCTGATGGCGTGAAAATATTATAGGGACGATATGTGTTGAGCTCATTTTTGTTGTCCAGCGCCCTGACTCAGGTGGAATAGTGTCGAAGGTACCGTAAAAATGTCCTTATAACCCGACCTAAAAGGGCGGGTCCGTCGATCCGTCCGTCCGTCCGTCCGTCAATCTGTCAGTCCTTGCGTAGGTCCGTCCTACGTCTACATCATAGATTCTTTTCAAACTTGGGGAACACTTTTTATACCTATAGGAGAAGAGCAGTGCGAAGTATGATTTCAATATTTTGATTTTCTGAAAGAAATACAGCTTTTTACTTAGAATTTTTTTCACCTAAACATTTGTGTGACCTGTAACTAGAACACTATTTCATGGATTCTTTTCAAATGTAGGGAACAGTTTCCTCACTTGTAGAAGAGGTGCAGTGCAAAGTGTAATTTGATATGTGTATGTTCTGAAAAATATGATGTTTTATGATGTTGTGTACTTAGAATAGTTTCTTACTTCAATATTTATAACTTAAAAACTACTTCATGAATTCTTTTCAAATTTAGGGAACTGTTTCCTCACTAATAGAAGAGGTGCAGTGCAAAGTGTAATTTGATATGTGTATGTTCTGAAAAATATGATGTTTTATGTTGTTGTGTACTTAGAATAGTTTCTTACTTCAATATTTATAACTTAAAAACTACTTCATGAATTCTTTTCAAATTTAGGGAACTGTTTCCTCACTAATAGAAGAGGTGCAGTGCAAAGTGTAATTTGATATGTGTATGTTCTGAAAAATATGATGTTTTATGATGTTGTGTACTTAGAATAGTTTTTTACTTCAATATTTATAACTTAAAAACTACTTCATGGATTCTTTTTCCAATTGGGGATAAAGATTCTATTCTAATAGGAGAGGCGCAGTGCGAAGTATGTTTTCAATATGTGTATTTTCTGCAAAATAAAGTTATTTTTTTAAAAAGGAATTTCTTTTTTGACTGAAACATTTATGAGTTATGAGACCTGTATACTTGAAAAGTACCGCATGGATTTTTTTCAAATTTAGGGAACAGTAGCTTCCATACTAATAAAAGCGGCGCAATGTAAAGTTTGATTTTAAAAGGTGTATTTTCTGAAAGAGTGAGTATGGTTTTACGCCGCTTTTAGCAATATTCCAGCAATATCACGGCGGGGGACACCGGAAATGGGCTTCACACATTGTACCCATATCGGGAATCGAACCCGGGTCTTCTGCGTGACGAGCGAACGCTTTAAACACTAGGCTACTCGACCGCCCCTTTTCTGAAAGAAATATGATGGGGTTTTTTATGTTGTGAACTTAGAATATTGTTTTTACTTCAAATTTGGGTGACCTGTAACCTGAAAACTACTTCATGGGGTCTTTTCCAATTGGGGGTACAGTTTCTGTACCAATAGGAAATGTGAAAATCTAAGTTTGATTTTAATATGTGTATTTTCTGAAAAGAATATTGGTATTTTCATGTTTCAAACTTAGAAATATGTTGGAGTCGAAGTCAATGCGCCATGCTCACTTTTTGTCTTGTTGACTGTTATTTCCTCCGATCACTGTTAGATTTAGAAGTGCATCTTTCCGTGTCGTTTACATGTTACTTTACTTCAATAAAATTTCAAAGCTATATGTGGTGAGTTGTTACTTTGATCTAATATCATTCATTTACTTTCACGCACGACCCCTGCAGATTCGGTGCAGAATAGGTCTTTAGCAAACCATGCTTGCCGTAAAAGAGGCGACTTACTGGATTGGGTGGTCAGGTTGCTGACTTGGTTGATGCATGTCATTGTATCCCAATTGCGTTGATTGTTGCTCATGATGTCAATCACTGGATTGTCTGGTCCAGACTCGATTATTTACAGATCGCCGTCATATAGCTGGAATATTGCTGAGTGCGGCAACAACTTTCACACACTGACATATTTCGTCATTTTGTTATATAGAATATGGCGGCGTGGATCAGATGCTGTGTTTTTTTCTGCCACTGCTTGAAAACACGCAATTATCTTCAGTAAAAGTAGGAAGTATAGGGCAAGTGTAGGACATTTAGGACATGTGTATGACATATGGGACACGTGTATCAGATATAGGACATATGCAGGAAGTATAGGGCATGTGTTGGACATTTAGGACATATGTAGGACATAGTCAAACTGACGGTACCTGAATGTGGCGTAAAATAAAAGCATATGTAACCAGGAGCTTGTTTTAAGCCTTTTATTCTCCAATGACTTCTTTTAAAATCCGCCCGATGTAAAGGAATACTGAAAATATCTAATACAACTTAATCCCCATGCTATGTTAATAGTGAATGAAGGCTGCGTCTCTGACACATCCACGACGTCCAGTAACCTATTTACTGCATATGTTGTATGCAACACTATCAGTGTGAGAAAATCCCCAGTTCACAATCGGTACAGGTCAGATTAGATGTGATTAACTTCACTCGACAGCAGTTCTCAAGTGGGCGGTCTCAGGTAAGTCTCTTCTTCTATTGCTATCATGTGTGCGTGGTTGGAATCACTGTAGGTTTACTTCTTTAAAATAAATTATAGACAAATGATAAGCAATTTGATAAATACATAATGTATACATGTTTTTATGTCAAACATCTTGCTTGTTATGTTCCTGTATTCACACCACGTGAGTCTTAGATTACATATTTGTCAATAGTGTGCTTATGTGAAATTATTGAAATACACCCTTTCCATAAGCATAAGAAATATCTGCTACATGCAGAGTCCATTTTACGAGTATGAGTTCATGAATCACCATCAAATAGTGATGATGAAAGTTTGTACTGTGGGACATTTCCAAGGGTTCAGTTGTCTTTACGTCGAACAATGGCTATTATATTTACATGAATACTGAACACAGAGTGAGATATGCACATATAAAGGTCTCGTAATCTTCTTCCTAACCAGATGGCGACCTCCCAAAAGTTAACAGAGCACTTTCTGAGTTGTACAATATGTACAGAGGTGTTTGACAACCCTTCCACGCTTGTGTGTAATCACACCTTCTGTCGGAAATGTGTTATCAACTACACCAAAACCAGGCCAGAAGCTATCAGCGCAAGATCTCTTCTATGTCCTTTCTGTAAGAAGATGACGAAAGTGTCTGACCCTGAGAGGCCAGTGGAGGAGTGGGCGGATGACGTCAAGCCTAGCTTTGTCATCCAGGGACTTTTGGACTCTTTTGGCCCAGAATCTACAAGTAAGCCCGAAAAAAATATATCGCTACACTCGACATTATTTCCATAAATATAAATACATAATTCTGTATGTAACTGTCAATAGGTCTTTATTGGGAGATATCAATGGCCAGTAGTCGGAGAAATTGGGTCAACGATTCAACGCTAATCTTACAAGGTGATTTAAAATTTAAATTCTACCAACGCTCGTCGGTATTCAATATCGGTTGTAGCTGCCCCTTACAGCAAAAACGTGCACGTATATTAATCACTCAAGGTGTATGTGAAAATATTTAGTAAAAACTAAGGAAGGAACCACGAGTGAAAATATCACCTTTTCGCCCGTCACGAGATGAGGGACTTTTTGTGCAGATGTCTCCCGGAAAATTTAACCAGTTCACCGCCCCTTGTATTTGCGTCTTAAAAAGTAGTTTCGTGTTTGCAAAATCTAAAAAAAATTTAAACAATGATATCCAAAAATATTTCGAAGCATATAACCACGAGTGAAAATATCACCTTTTCGCCCGTCACGAGATGAGGGACTTTTTGTGCAGATGTCTACCGGAAAATTTAACCAGTTCACCACCCCTTGTATTTGCGTCTTAAAAAGTAGTTTCGTGTTTGCAAAATCTAAAAAAAAATTAAACAATGATATCCAAAAATATTTCGAAGCATATAACCACGAGTGAAAATATCACCTTTTCGCCCGTCACGAGATGAGGGACTTTTTGTGCAGTTGTCTACCGGAAAATTAAACCAGTTCACCACCCCTTGTATTTGCGTCTTAAAAAGTAGTTTCGTGTTTGCAAAATCTAAAAAAAATTTAAACAATGGTATCCAAAAATATTTCGAAGCATATAACCACGAGTAAAAATATCACCTTTTGGCCCGTCACGAGATGAGGGACTTTTTGTGCAGTTGTCTACCGGAAAATTAAACCAGTTCACCACCCCTTGTATTTGCGTCTTAAAAAGTAGTTTCGTGTTTGCAAAATCTAAAAAAAATTTAAACAATGGTATCCAAAAATATTTCGAAGCATATAACCACGAGTGAAAATATCACCTTTTCGCCCGTCACGAGATGAGGGACTTTTTGTGCAGTTGTCTACCGTAAATTAAACCAGTTCACCACCCCTTGTATTTGCGTCTTAAAAAGTAGTTTCGTGTTTGCAAAATCTTAAAAAATATATAAACAATGGTATCCAAAAATATTCTTGAGTACTAGGAGACCCCTGAGAGACGCGAAAGACTACACGCTGGTCAAGTAACAAAAATGGCGAAACGAACATTCTCAATTGACGAGTTAAATGAGAGATTGACAGTTTATAATGAAACATTTTCGAGAGAAGAATAAACGGCTAGAAGTGATATTAAATCCATAAATGACAATCCGTCATCATTTTGCCTCGGCAATGTGGAACTAACGTAAAAAGAACGTCAACAATTGTGTGTGGGCTAGTCACATGAGACAATTAAAGGGGAAGTAATTCTTGTATGACAATAGTTCCGTCAAAGTATTATGTTCACTGCAGTGAAATATCAAGTGCTATGTTCACTGCAGTAAAATATCAAGGGTTATGTTCACTGCAGTGAAATATCAAGGGTTATGTTCACTGCAGTGAAATATCAAGGGTTATGTTAACTCCAATGAAAATATCACTTTTCTCAACTTCAGAAAAGTCAGTCTTTCACGCTGAAGTATATAATTAATATAAACTATTCTCAAAGGCGGCCGAGGGAGTTCTGAGGCAAGTTCAGACTGTAAAAAGCGATTGTATCCACCTTGCGCATTGATGCCGGTCTGGCACCTTCTCCTCAATGATGCCACTAAATGCTGAACCCGAACTGTAGCCAATGCTTGCCTCCCCAGTAAAGATCCGGGTTAGAAGTGGTCTTCATGCTTGTCGTAAGAGGCGACTTACGGGACCGGGTGGTCAGGGTAGCTGACTTGGTTCATGCATGTCAACGAATCCCAATTGCTTAGATCGATGTTCATGATGTCAATCAGTGGATTGTCTGGTCCAGATGTTCGATGCTAATGATGTCAATTACTCGATTGTCTGGTCCAGACTCGATTAATTACAGACCGCCGTCATATAGCTGGAATACTGCTGAGTGTGGCGTTAAACAACAAACAAAGAGACAAACAAACACTACACGTTGAAGAAATGTAAGACCTGGGGAAAGGCATTTCATATCTGAAGAAGGCAAACCCAGAGTTCCTGCAACGTTGATACTCCAGCAACACGTGATTCTCCTTAAATATCTGCACAACTGGAGACGGTGTCCTTCTATCGTCAGGGATGTCCGTGTGGATGGCGCCTGGCACGGATGCTGACGAGTCGTACACGTCGTCTCTGACGGTACGGGCTGTGAGACTTCCTCTCTGGAACCTGTGTCAATGATGAGTGGTTCTAACCCATATGTCTTGGCGAGAGTTGTCACGGGTAGGCGGCCTCTACAAGGGACGGCCTCTAACCTGGTTTTTCTGTTGATAACTACGACATAAGCGCCATATGGTGTTTCTGCGACGTCACGGTGAATACCGGATTTAAGCATTCCTTTGGCTCGCCATCTGCCATTTTCCCTTAGACGGACATGGTGAAATCTCATCACAACCATAAAAACTGGTGTTTTTGTGAACGAAACCACATGTAAAGTCAGGTCAAGTACCTGCACTAACACGGGAACATATGGTAGATTTGAATTGAACATACATTTAGTCACCGACACGTCAAATTTGTAAATGTTCTCTGCCTGTCTCCTATAAAGCTTTTCGAAAGATTTACTAAGGAGTTGGATGTTGTAACCCTGCTCAAACAACGTTTGAGTAAGAGTATTAGTATAATACTCTTTGAAATTATTGTGAAAAGAACATGCTCGATGGTACCTGAAATGTTGACACCTAAGGCTATAGCTGCTGTAATATCGCTTGACATAAGGAGAATATTTGATTTTTGAATTTTGAAATCACCACTCTTTTCATGCAGTATTGGGGATACATTTTTGTCATTTTGGATCTTTATGCATAGATCTCAATATGAAACAAATGAGGTTGTCTTTTATTTCTAGTTCAGGTGGGTAAATCAGTGGAAAGGAATTGGCTGTTTGACCATTATTTAAAAGGTATCAGATAATGTACCTGAAGCCTAAGTTAAACTTGGTTAATAAGACTATATGATGTCTATTGGTTGCAGATACAACCTACTGCCGTTATTGCAAGGAGGAAGGGGAGACAACTCCTGCTACCTCTTGGTGCTCTGTTTGTGACGACGCCCTCTGTGAACGATGTGTACGGATGCACAATAGAAACCCATCCTCCCGTCACCATGACGTAGTTGACATGTCTAGAGAGGTCAAGATCAAGAGCATGGAAAAGGTTGTGTGTAAAGAACACAAAGATGAACATATAAAACTCATTTGCAGAGACTGTAAGAAAGCAATTTGTCAAACATGTTGCATTACCTATCACAAAATGTGTGAAAGTGTTGTTGAAATGGAATCAGAAATGCCGGCAATTAAATCAGAGCTGACAAGGAAAAGGGATAATTTGTTGAAGAAATGTGATAAGATACAAATTCTCGTTGACAAACAGAAAACAATAGCCAATGAAGAATCAACGTCTTATTTGCAAATAGAATCAGACATCAAGTCTACCACTAAGAAAGCAATGGACACGATTAAAAGCAAGGAAATGAAGCTTCTCAATGAGCTGAAAGAGAAGTCTGAGAAACACATAGAGCAGCTAAAAGCAAACATAAAGTCAAGAGAGATGTCAGTACAGATGTTCCAAGAAGAAGCGGAGCTGATAGACCAGACTCTACGCTCTGAGTGTGACATGGGTGTGTATGAGATGTATCAGGGATGTGAGGTCGGTGATGTGGAGGCTGTCGGGGACGCAGGGCTGAAGGTGAAGGGGAGAATAGCCAGGATCATGTTCAGACAGGACACGGATCAGCTGAGCATAACACTGGACGATCTACAGCTGGGTGACATAGACGTCCTGTACGAGAGTGTGCTGGACCTGATGGCGACTCCTGTATTACAGGACACTATCAACGTCAGAGTAGGAGACGGGGTAGAAGCAGATCCTATTGATGTCACAGTGCTTGCTGTGAATGGTACAGATACAGTCGTTGTCACAGATTACGAAAACAAAAGTGTGAAGTCCTTCTACACCAAAAATAACCATACATATCACAGCAGGCTCTTTCTGGGTCCGGTGGGCAGACCATGGTGTATGGCAAAGTTAAAACAGAACCAACTGGCTGTAACTGTTTTGGGTATCAGTCAGATTGTAACAGTTGAAGTCAACCCTGACCTGGTGCTGCTGTCAACCATCACAACAAACAAACAGTACTATGGTATAACGTCTCTGACACCATCAACACTAGCAGCAGGTTCCCATTCTCCCCCCTGTATTGATATCCTGGATGTAACGGGACACGTGCTGAGTTCACTCAGTCCACTTGTAAATGGTTACACCATCTTTAAATTTCCCAATTTTCTCTTCACGACAAGGACTGGGAACATCCTTGTGTCCGACAGTGGATCAAGGTACGTCGTGTGTCTGACCAAGAAGGGGGATGTGGTGTTCACCTACAGCCCTTCAGGAAACACATCACTAAAATATCCACGTGGCATAACACGTACCAGCACAGGTGACATTCTGGTTTCAGATTCTTTCCTACACAGAGTCATCCATCTGACTGAGTCGGGGGAGTTTGTTAGAAACATACTGACTTTACAGGATGGTATTCAGTATCCCTGGGGTGTGTGTCTAGATGGGCAAGGGTGTATGTATGTGTGCTTGTCAAGTGACGTTAAGGTTTTCACAATGCACTAAAATGAGTGGGAATTATGTCTGAATCCTTTTTAGGAACTACATGTGTGTTTTTTTTATATTGCACAGGGTTGTATTTGCAATTGAAGGATTGCGACACAAGCTTATCTTAAAGTTCTTTATCTACATTGGGTGTTGGGTCCATCCTTTCTTACATGATAGAACACTAGTTTGTTATTGCTGAGTAAGTTTGTTAGTTGACAAAATAATGGACTATTTGCAGATTTATACAAATGATACTATCCTCAAGACTGTATGACAAGAGCGAAGACTTTCCAATGTTTCCCTTTGGGTCGAGCAATGTTTCAGCAGCTCCAGACTCTGGTGTCACAACTTTTTAGGTACAATCGAACATAATCTTTCTATCAATATTTCAATACGATTCTTGCTCAAATGGGTCTGCATTTAAGTCAAGACTTGAACCATATGTAAAGCTTTCAAAAAGTTATTAGTTCGACATGTGCAGGACATGTCAAAATCAGTGACCAAAATATGTCGAATTCAATTCCTTATTTTGACCATATGTTCCCATGATTGTTCAGTTGAACACTTGACTTGCCTGTGCATGTCTTTATGACAAGTATCACCGGTGGGGCAGGATACCCTACCTTTTTGCGAACACCTGGTATCCATGTTATTTGATATGGGTCCATGAATACACGTGTATGATATAGTCGGAATCGTACAATATGACCTCTGCTTTAGCATATCTATTTGAAAACGGAAACCATGCTGACATCTGTATTCTTTATGTCTTGTTTACTCGCTAAATACAATTCTAAAATAACTTTGCGTCTGCCATCATTTTTATCTAACCTGATGTCGCCTGTTGAACTCAAGAAACAATAAACAACACTCGCAGTAGCAGTGTATCTGGTTGTTTTCCATTCACATTTATGTGAAAATATCGTCAATATTAATATTAGATCAATGCAGTGTGCCTCTTGATCTATCGATGTGTAGTAAAACCCCATCTGTGTTACAGATTCCTGACAGTGCTTTTGAGCAGTTCTCTTAACTGGATACCAGCGCTTAAGAAATGCTTAGTTATTATTATTATTATTATTATTATTATTATTATTATTATTATTATTATTATTTACAGATTAAAATAAAAATGCAGCAAAGAGGGTTTGGGTGATTCTGGCACAGTCAGCTTGGTTAGGCTCATCATCAGGGCCCTTGCCCCCTCTGCACGCAGCCCAAACAGCGAATGGGACTTCTCCCAGGAAGCGCTGCCTAGTCAAACCCACCCAGAAAGACTTCCCAACACTGTAGCCTTCTGCATTACCCAGATTGTCAGAAGGGCTGCATTCCTGGTAGCAGAGGGGGCAATGGGGAATCGGACAACTTGGTACTTGGGATTTAAGCGTGACATTTCGAAAGCATGTTTTTCCTAATCTTTTCAATGACATTGGAGTCAAAAGGGACAGAAAATTCAATAATATAAAGATTTCATTTGATTTATCAAAAAGGACAAGATCAGGTGTGTTGGCCTGGATGCGTCTGAGGCTGTATACGGGCCTCTTCCAAAGATTTTTGTATTTATCATTTTCCATAACGCCCTCTACATATTTTGGGTCTTACCATGGATGGACCTCTGCGTCAAAACCACAAACATTGCGAAGACAGTTTTAAAATGATCGAGCCACTCCTTAAGATAATTGTTTGTGCAAAAACTGGGCATCCACTGACAATGTGGTCATTAAATTCATTACATAATCTACATTTCATATTTACATTTTGATGCGAAATCACATATTGTCGGTTTCGAGTGGGAAGTGACTGGTCCTGAGTAGCAAACAGAAAGCCTTCTGCGTCACTTCTCAGGCCAGCCGACTTCATCCAAGCGAAGGACTCTGCAGGGTTGCTGACTTTCTCAACACACTGCACATGAACTCGATGCAGTGGTCGTTCAGATAGCCTCTCCTTGAAAACTGGGCCGATCTGATATGGCACTTCGCTTGGTTGACACTCATTTCTGTACCGTCCAGCAGTGGAGAACCATCAACAAAATCAACATTGACATTAAGATTATGTCCAACATCCTCGGCTTGTTTTCATCATGACTCTTGACATGCTTCACAAGAGGATCATCAGACAAATAGATGTGTGCAAAAGTGGACAAAACAATTTTATCACGAAGAGCCCCAACGTTATTCACACAACGCCTTCCCATTACGATTGGTAAATATAAGCGATTGAGGGAAGAGCTATAATTATAATTATTATCAGTAGTAGTAGTAGTAGTAGTAGTAGTAGTAGTAGTAGTAGTATATAGTGATGGAAACGAATGATGGAACAAAGAAATATATAGACTGAGATAAAAGCTTTACTGTCAGTACATTCGAAATAGCGCGCATACAAATTCAACACTTCAGAATCAAATGTTTAGATGTGCTTGTGTGCATTGTTGATTGAATAGGTGAGGTGAAATAAGGTGCGTGCGTGCGTGCGTGCGTGCGTTCGTGCGTGCGTTCGTGCGTGCGTGCGTGCGTGCGTGTATGTGACTGCTGGTACTAGTCCGGGCATTATAGTGCCAGACCACTGAAATACCATGCTGCCGTTTTAACATGGATACCCCAATCAGACACAGTACACTGTATCAGAGCCGACCGGCCCTGGTTTTATCCCCTTAATGTCGAGCGCAAGGCAGGGAAACAACAAATACCATCTTTTAACGTTTAGTGTTATGAAGCGACCGCGGGTCGAAACCCGACCTTACGACCTTTCCACGGGACTGGTTAATACAAACACTATGAGCATAATTAGAATGAAATTGCAAGAAAACACATTGAGAAATAATGTGATTTCTACAAATAAATATATTCCATATACCTCACTGTATCTTTTTTTAGTTGTTATTATGATGCCTGCCACGAAGTGGAAGGGGGTTATAGGAATGAATGTTGTCCGTCCGTCCATCATCCGGAGCAGAACTGATACACCATGAAAGATATCGTGGCACATAGATAGGTCTAGTGGTGAACTGGTCCCCTTTGATGAATTTTTTTCGAGTTTCCAAGGCAACGAGTTTGACTTAGACTGAAAATTGCAGTAGTGCTCGTTTCTGGGGGCCTAATGTCTTCCACATAACCGAACATGTCATATTAGGAGGGGTGGGAGTATTTCATGCTTGTTATTAATTGTGATGTTAACACTGTACGTACTGAACAGACTAAAGGAGTTGATGTGATGATACGATACAGACAACGCATGTATCATTGGTCAATGTGTTATAATCCGTATGTCCGATAGTTTGTGCATAAGCAAACATAGAATTACATGTTTGTCTTAGCCATGTTGTTTTGGACAGTGAATACAGTCGGGAAAGGTTTATACCTCCCGAAATGGAATGCTGAATGTTGGACTATGCCAACACGTATCTGGTTTGTTCTGAGCGTGTAAACGACCACTGTTGTCAGTGTTACTGATTAATGGGATTGTCACAAAATATGCTCTTTGACCAAAATAATTTTCCAACCTTTTTTTGCATTCCAAGTCATGTCATATATGTCATAAGTGGATGCCTCGAAAGATGAAAGAGATCCTGCAGTCGGACCTAATTAAGTAGAGCATTGTTCTCAACTTCCTTGATAGGCATTTAGGAATTGGAGTGCTAAGTAAGGATAAGATATATGGATGAACAACCTTTTTTTATTAGAAATAGGCATGATTGATTGATTGTTTGTTGTTTAACGCCGCACTCAACAATATTCCAGCTATATGACGGTGGTCTGTAAATAATCGAGTCTGGACCAGACAATCCAGTGATTGATATCATCAACCAGGTCAGCGAGCCTGACCAACCGATCCTGTTGGTCGCCTCTTACGACAAGCATAGTCGCCTTTTACGGCAAGCATGGGTTGCTGAAGAGCTATTCTACCCTGGATCTTGACGGGTATCAGATACGCATGACGTTTCATTTGCTTGATAACTGTGTTAGAACCTTCACCGAAAGGTCACTTCTGTTTGTAATAAAGAAGGTTTCATCGATGTATCTTATCCTTACTTAGATTGTTCCCCAGACCATCACTGTGAAACTCCATTCCACTGTCTTTGGCGAATTAAACATTGCATTCATAAATTAAAATTTCGGATATTCCAAATTGAATAACCAATCACGTGCTCCATTACGACACGGTACACCTATAAATATAAACATTATTGCTCTTCGTTGAAATAAACCAGGGTTTTTTCACCTCCCGTCAGTTGAAAATTGACTGGTCTTAGAGCGGGAAATAGTTTTTTATTTGTTTGCTTATTTTTTGTTTGTTTGTTTGTTGTTGAACGCCGCACTCAGCAACACTCCAGCTATATGACGGCGGTCTGTAAATAATCGAGTCTGGACCAGACAATCCAGTGATTGACATCATGAGCAACAATCAACGCAATTGGGATACAATGACATGCATCAACCAAGTCAGCAACCTGACCACCCAATCCCTTTTACGGCAAGCATGGTTTGCTGAAGACCTATTCTACACCGAATCTGCACGGTAAATAAATGTTATAAGATCAAAGTAACAACTCACCACATATAGCTTTGAAATTTTATTGAAGTAAAGTAACATGTAAACGACACGGAAAGATGCACTTCTAAATCTAACAGTGATCGGAGGAAATAACAGTCAACAAGACAAAAAGTGAGCATGGCGCATTGACCTCGACTCCAACATATTTCTAAGTTTGAAAATACCAATATTCTTTTCAGAAAATACACATATTAAAATCAAACTGGACCAGACAATCCGGTGATTGACATCATCAGCATCGATCCACGCAATTGGGATACGATGACATGCATCAACTTAGTCAGCGAACCTGACCACCCGATCCCGTTGGTCGCCGTATACGAGAAGCAAAGTCGCCTTTTACGGCAAGCATGGGTTTCTGAAGGCTTATTACGGGTCCGGTGAATAGAAAAACAAATAAACTGTATTAGCTTGAAAGTTTTACATACACCGGTATATTTATTTTATTCACAGAAGAATGTAACAGTGTTCACATAAGAACCTTGTTTGGAGATGGAAATCAGCTATTAATTGCAAGTTGTGTCCCTCGGGGTTCCACTGTGTGTGGGTTCACATAGATTCATAGACTGACATCTAGTCTCCGAAAGGAACATAGAAAAACAGTTGTTAAATTAATGTTATCAAATATAATAAAAGGAGATACTGCAGTATTCTATACTTACTAAATATCATGGGCTGTATTGGATATATTTGTTTCAGGGTCTGTATTACAGACTAATAGATTTATATTTCAATGCATTATAGTTTAACATAATACAACAGCCAATTTTGAAAACAGCTTATAGTAACTGAAATTAAGCGTACGTTTTCATTTTGGAAACAAGGACACCAGACACACTTTCAATATCGACTTAATGGGGATGACATCCGTCAGATTGTGTTGCGTCACAGCTCACACGGATAAATCTGACCCGGTGCTCAACTTCCCTCGACACCGGTTACTCAAGCTGACTCGCCGAGGTGAGTGTGTGTTGTCACAAGGTGGGCGTCAAACTTGAATTATAACGTTACACAATTGTCACGTTATGTGCTGGACTGAAGCATGAGGGTTCATTTAACTGTATCTGAGGCTGTCAAACAACTAACTGAATTGAACAGTTAACTTAATGAATTTATTTTTACCGTTCTACTTTTTATATACGCGGTCACGCGACAGCCATATGTCTGAGTGAAGTACACTTTGTACCTGTATGTGATTTGTCGGTATACATATTAGGGTGGACATGGAGATTTCACTTTAAACTTCACATCAATTATTAAACACATCTACCTACATGAAAACATATATAACCATCGATCAGTCATTGCGAATTCCAGAACGCATGATTATTGATGTGGTGTGACAGTATATTACCAGATCACGTTATCAATACCACTGGAAAACCATGTGCAGTCACTTGTTATCTATTATCAGTGGACACAATGAGTCTGTTATATCGGTTAGTTGAGAAGCATTGAGAAGTTTTGGCATCATTGATGTACTGATTTAAACAATGTGGCAGATTCATATAACTAAATAAGCGTCTTGGAGTTATGGCTCACCTAACAGAAAGTCAAATGAGAATATGTGAGAACCTGGTCAAATTAGAAATAAAATTAGATATCGTGTGATCATTAAATTATATGAGAGAGAGAGACTTATATATATATATATATATATATATAGATATATAGATATATAGATATAGATATAGATATATATATATATATATATATATATATATAGAGAGAGAGAGAGAGAGAGAGAGAGACACACACAGAGACAGAGACACACACAGAGACAGAGAGACAGAGACAGAGAGAGAGAGACAGAGACAGAGACAGGGAGAGAGAGACAGAGACAGAGACAGAGAGAGAGAGAGAGGGAGAGGGAGCGAGGTAAAATGTTAAGCTTATTAAGCTCAAGGTGTATAATATGCATACGTTTTTCAGAATGAAATAAGGTTCATTTCACTTCTTTTATGAATGAGTGAGTTGGGTTTAACACAACTTTGAAAAGTATTCCAGTTATATCATGGCGTGTCAGCTTAATGTGGAAGGAAAGCCCGAATTGATGCATTCGCAGACGTTTACCACTTCGGTGAAACCTACGAGCACGGGTATGATGCTGACAAACCTAGAAACATTTTTGGGGCGAAAGGGGATTCGAACCCACAATCAAAGGTTTCTGGCTGCCCAAGAGGCGCAACTCTGCACAGCGAATCGCGGCGTCTTAGACGACTGGGCTGCCCATGCACCCCTTCTGTGAAGGAAGCACAGAGGGTGATTTAGTTTAGTTTTGTATATTCGTTCGTTTTGGCTAGGACACTGCCAATTACCTCCGGTGTTTTCATTGAAATTTTGTTTTCTACATGAATACTTTTGTGTCATATGTGTGCAAGACATGAAGACGTCGTGTTTCTATTTTAATCTAGATGGCGACCTCCGAGAAATTAACAGAACACTTTCTGACATGTACAATATGTACAGAGGTGTTTGACAAGCCATGCACACTTGTGTGTAATCACACCTTCTGTCGGAAATGTGTCGTCAGCTTCACCAAAACCAGACCAGGAGCCATCAGTGCCAAGTCTCTCCTGTGTCCATTCTGCAGCAAGATGACGACAGTGTCTGACCCTGAGAAGCCAGTGGAGGAGTGGGCGGATGACATCAAGCCTATGTTTGTCATCCAGGGACTCCTGGACTCATTCGGCCCTGGATCTAAAGGTGAGCGTGAATACGGTCAATGGAACATATTCTAAATGTGTAATGTTCCATGGATGTGTAAGGAAGTCTTGGGCAGCACAACATATGATGAGTTGCCTAAAACGACTTTAATCCCAAGGTTATGTTTCTAGATTTGCCAGCATCATACCAGTACTCGTTGGTTCCCCCAAATGGTAAACCTCTTGGACCTGCACAAGCTGGCAAGCAGGCCGTGATATACCGGAAACAAAATTGTTCGAAGCCGCGACAACTCACTCATATGGAATACTAGAAGGGACATTTTCGCGTTGTCGCAAGGTCGCACAGTCGCCCTTTCAAAAACAAGCAAAATGTGTCAAAAATAACCAAAGCGCGACAATGCGACAATGCGACAATGCGACAATACCCCTTCTAGTATTCCATACACTCCGAACCAGAGAATAGAACCATACAATCATGAATATACACAGTACACAATCTGTTTATAAAATTGATAGACACTATAAAAATGTATTTTGACTGTAAACACGTTTATAAAATTGATAAACACTCTAAAAATGTATTTTGACTGTAAACACCATTAAATTGATAAACACTATGAAAATGTATTTGGCTGTGAACACATTTAAGATATGTTTAGGTTTAAACATGTTATCATTATCATCATTTGCATAAAATCCGAGATTCTTTCAGTTATTTGTTTTTTACCTGACACAACACACTAAATCACATTGTCTTCAAGCTTCATGGTTTTATCCATAACTTGATTTTCCGTATCTCTGATAACAACTATAGCTATTTTCTCTTATAAAAAGCATGTACATGTAAATACGTCCACGTAATACCATTGAGAAGAATCTTACACACGAATACATATTGAACTATCAAAGTGTGGAGGTGATGTAACCAATTGAATCTTTGTCACTTTGCATTAACCTTAAATTAATGATGCAGACAACACACTGCTATTGCTTGTAAATATCATGCTATATATATGATTAACCAGATCAACTGTCGTTATTGTTTAAGAGGAAGGGCAGTCAACTCCTCCAACCATTTGGTTGTCAGTTGCTGTATACGCTTTACGATATCGTTTACTCATTAGTAGAATTGTTGCAAAATTCCTTGTCAGGCACATTAATTTTTACCATTTTTCAACATAATGGTATTATAAATGATTTCTTATTGTTTCAGATACGACCTACTGCCGTTATTGTAAGGAGGAAGGGGAGACAACTCCTGCTACCTCTTGGTGCCCTGTTTGTGACGACGCACTCTGTGAACGATGTGTACGGATGCACAATCGACACCCATCTTCACGCCACCATGACGTAGTTGGCATGGCTGAAGAGGTCAAGGTCAGAAGAAGGCGAAGGTTTATGTGTAAGGACCACAAAGATGAAGACATTAAACTGATGTGCAAAGACTGCAAGAAAGCAGTTTGTCAAACATGTTGTATTATTTATCACAGAAATTGTAAGTGAGTTGTTGAAATTGAAAAGGAAATACCTTCAATGAAATCAGAGCTGACCAGGAATAAAAACAACTTGATGAAGAAATATGATGAGATAGAAGCTCTCGTTGACAAACAGAAAACAAGATCCAAAGAAGAATCAACGCGTTATTTGCAAATGGAATCCGACATCAAGTCTACCACTAAGAAAGCAATTGATATGATCAAACGCAAGGAAAGAAAACTTCTTGATGAACTGAAAGAAATGTCAGACGAATACATAAGGCAATTGAAAGCAGACATAAAGTCAGGAGAGTTGTCAATAAAGATGTACCAACTTCAGGCGGAGCTGATAGACCATACTCTACAATCTGAGTGTGACATGGATGTGTATGAGATGTATCAGGGATGCGAGGACGGTGATGTGGATGCTGTCGGGAATGCAGACCTGAAAGAGAAGGGAAGAATAGCCAGCATCATGTTCAGACAGGACATGGACAAGCTGAGTAGAGCAGTGGACGATCTACAGCTGGGTGAGATAGACGTCCTGTATGAGAGTGTACTGAACCTGAAAGCGACTCCTGTGTTACAAGGCACCCTGGACGTCAGAGTAGCAGGAGATGGAAAAGCAGCACACGCCATTGATATCACAGTACTTGTTGTGAATGGTACAGATACAGTTGTAGTCACAGACTTCAACAACACAAATATGAAGTCCTTCTACACCAGGAATAACAAGGTTTCCCACAGTAAGCTCAGTCTGAGCAGCGAACCTTACTGTGTGACAAAAGTGAAACACAACCAGGTAGCTGTCACTGTGCCAGATACCAGACAGATTGTAACAGTTGAAGTCAACCCTGACCTGGTGCTGCTGTCAACCATCTCAACAAACAAACAGTACATCGGTATAACGTCTCTGACGTCATCAACACTAGCAGCAGGGTCCCAGTCTCCTCCCTGTGTTGATATCCTGGATATGTCGGGACACGTGCTGAGGTCAATCAGCCCACTCCACAGTGGTAACAACATATTACAGAGCCCCTCCTACCTCTGTACTACGAGGAAAGGAGACATCCTTGTGTCTGACTGGGGATCCAGGTGTATTGTTTGTCTGACCCCCGGGGGAGATGTGGTGTTCACCTACAGCCCTACAGGAGACACAGCACTGAAGTGGCCACGTGGTATCACAAGTACCAGCACAGGTGACATCCTGGTGACACAAGTACCAGCACAGAGTCATTTATCTGACTGAGTCGGGGGAGTTTGTGAGAAACATACTGACATCACAGGATGGTATTCAGGATCCCTGGGGTGTTTGTCTAGATGGGCGTGGTTGTATGTATGTGTGCTTGTCCCGTGTAGTTAAAGCGTTTTCACTGCACTAATTATAGGCCGACTGGACTGAAAAGTATTGCTTTACATATGTTTGCTACTTTGTACATTTGAATTTAAGATTTGAAATTAAAGTATTGCGCCACAATCATTGTTTGTATGTTTACAGTTAAAGAACATAAATTATATCAGTGAATCCTATGGACAAATCAACAAAGTTTTGTATGTGATTGTTGGACATGATAGATTTAGCGGGGATCTCTCTATAATGTATCCCTTTTTTACATGTCTGTCCTGAAATAAAATGTTGTACATGCCAATGAAATTTGTAACAATTTGTTAAATATATTGTACAGGTCTGTGTATTCCAGTTTCAGTGTCTAGTTTCAATAAATGTATAGGGGATAATGGGATTTTGATATATGATTTACAGTGCCAACAAACCCACTGGGATTCCGGTAAAGTATGTAGGCACCCATCAACCAATGCTTGTTGTAACTAAATGGATCGGGTTGTCAGGCTCGGTGAGTCGTTGATTGCATGTCATCGTATGCCTCTATTGTGTGGGTCGATGCTGATGATAACTGTCTGGTCAAGATTCGATTCGCAGTTTGAAGCTCACGGAAGCCATCGGAACTAAATAAAATAATGAAACTGTAGAATCTTTGTTTTGAAAGCTGTACGACATGTTGATGTAACTGACAATTAACTTTTTTTTTCATCCGCACTTGAAAGATTGAAAATGTCATTACGTTTGTTTGTTTGAAAGCATGCACGCATGTGCAGAAACGGAGCGGTCTAAGGGAGATAAATGTAGCAGTGTATTAAGTGAAGCGCAATGAAATACATGTTATCTTCAATGAAAAATGAATAATAAAACACCAGTGGTTGTAACAGGTGGCTGTGTCGCTTCTTTATTGGGTATTAAGCACATTTACTAAGTATCTCTACTGAACTATAAGAAAGTCTGTTAAATATACAGGTACCTATCTCATCTGTCACACTATAGACTTCTTAGCCTCAAATTCAGTGATGCGCTGACATCAAACTCAAGCATACCATTCCTGACATCAGTCTTCATCGAGTGACGTCAGACCGGTGTTGGAGTCTGGTGTTGTTCTTGTTGAAGTTTTCTTCAACATAAAGTGTATGTCTTTACCCATGTCTGTACATACAGCAGGAGGTAACCGCCTGTATACAGTGTCCACATTAAATCCTCCATGTAAGTCTCCTGCTGATGCACGGTCCAGGCACCTCCCCTCTACACGCCCGGTTATGTATGCATCAGTTGTGTTCTCTCATTGATAGAAAGAAGGACGATGGCAGAACGAGGGTGTGCACTACTACCTAACTCTGTACATCGCAATATAAACACACATTTAACATGCACTAAAGAAGCAGGTGTAAGATCAAGCTGTAGTATGCATTGTATTTTTTGCACGTCATCAAAAACATGTGGTAAAGAGATAACAGAGAGTAGTAAATGAGATGTACCAGGGATGTGAGGTCGGTGATGCAGAGGCTGTCGGAGACGTGAAGGTCATAGTGTAATCCTTTATCATTTAGTTGACGCAATACTTGAAGGGTGATGATACACAAGTAGCCAAAACAAACAATCAACACCTGAAATGACACAATGTTTCTATTTTCTCCACATACTAATGCTGAAATAGTTTCCAGAATTTGAAGATACCTTTGAAATATACCGAACATATAGGAACGTTAACGTAACCACAAGTTTATTACTTTTAATGCACCTGAATAACTTTTGTTTAATATGTACTTTTCCTACTATCGCGGGCAACCAGTCCATGTAATATGTCCCTGAAGCAAATTGCTCTCAGTCTGTCTGAAGCGGTGATAGAATTTGGTATAATTGTAAGGGATGTGCTGCGCCATATTTGTTTCTGTAGCAGAGTCACGTTTTTAATTCACGATTATATTTCGTGACGCAGCTGTAAGAGTAAAGCCCTTCACAAAATTTAGATTTGGCATTTTCACTGTTCAAGATTTATAAATCCAATCCTATATGTGTATTAATGTATCCTTAACATCAAATTGACCTGGTACAGCTTTACATCATATATCGACGACCGCCAAACCATTGCAAAAAATCACTACGGCAGGAAAACAACAATTTTTTCATGCACCCTGTTCACGTAAAGACACATTCCCCTTGTGGACAGACAATTTATTTTGACTTGTGTATTCGCATGTCGCTCAAAATACCCAATATACCATTTCTCGTTGGTCATACTGAGAGAGCAAGCCTTTCACTCATAATGACCTTTGGATAGATCTTAGTAGAAATGTGGCCCAAATTGTAATTCCTAACATCAGTTACCAACTGGTTAAGCTCCTGCACTCCATGTTAAGAACTACCTTTACTGTCAAGGGTGTTTGTTTACTACGAATTCCACAGCTACACTGTAAATAGTGTGTGTTCAATTCCATCACTTTCCTTATCACGTACTTTTGCCATGTTAAGCATTCTGTTTAACAGCTAAACGCGTTGTGAGTTAAAATGTGGGATAGACCCGTACCCCCATTTGAAACCTTGATACGTATACCTTTACTGCAGGTATTTTCTAAAAGGGGTTCTCTTTATCAGTATTTTAGCATTCCTGTATGAGAGAAATACCATGAGTCACACGGCAACAATACATTTATGAACACAGCACATTTTAAATCTCGGCGGGATGCGAACCTGCAACCTCTTGATTTGTTGGCCTTCACGTTACCACCTGTGCTATGGAGACTGTTGTCTTCAGAGATGCTAGCTTTCCTCGTCACCATTCACCCAGCTTGGTTTATTTGAACATTTGTTTTGTTAAGATTGTTCCCCGTTGGTTGTAAGTCCTGGTGGTATATGAGTTATGCAATCTGATTTGCGCATCTAATATCAATTTATAGTATATATATTTTTAAACAATTCTAAACATGTTTAGATTATGCGGATGTTGTGTTTAGGTGGTGTTTAGACTGTGAGACGATAGCTCATTTCTTGTGTTGGGACCCTAATATTGTTTAGATAGAACACAGCAAATGTGTATTCCGGTTTGGATATAAATACATTCCTAACATGATTGGATCTAAACATGTCTTGTATTTGTTTACATTATAAATACATTTTTTACAGTATAGTCTGTTCAAGTGGCGTAACGGTATTGTAAAATGTAGCACATGTATTTTATGATATGAAGATGTTAACTTACTGAATGTTGCTTCAACTTTATTAATTGAAACTAGTTTAGGGTCTGATCATGTATTACTGATGTCCTAAGGCAACTTGGCAACACGTGTCCCCAACCAGGCTTTAATGACATTCTATGAAATAAAATACCCCCTTCCCCTCCCCATTGACCAATACACACACACACGCTCACACCCGCATAAGGTCACACATACACATTCACACACACGCTTACATACACATACACACGGACACACAACTCACACATACAAAAATATACCCTCCACACACTCACAAACACGTACACACGCACACATACTTACACCCACACACACACGTATACATACACTTACACGCATACACATACGCACATGTACACGCACGCGCACGCACACACATACGCACACGTACATACACACACGAACTACTTTGTAAAAGATTATCAAATGGGCGAGTCAAATCCAAATACATGTACAGCGAACACCGTTGGCTCAGCTGGGCTATAACCGCCCTGGTGCACAATTTCCCTCAACACCGGTTTTGAATTCAAAGCTGACTGCATCAGGTAAGTGTGTTGTCTGTCACTAGGGCTGTCGTCAACGTGTATCACAGTGCTACATTGCTGTCCTACTGTGTGTTGTGTTTCAGAGATGTCCATGTGCACGTATACACGCCTAAAGTCTCTCACGACTTACCGTCCTCTCAGTGGTACAATGTATATTGAGTAAGACAGCTATCAAAACACAGGGCACAGTGCTGGTTTGTGTGTTTCTGTTTGTTTGTTTGTTGTTTAATACATGCGCAGTTTTGATGAATTATGTTAGTTGTTTTGCCATGTCAATCATTATAACCCAAGACACATTACATTCTCACTTACTGCTTCACATTCCATCGATACGATATGGCAGGAGGTATAGAGACGTTCTGCTTCGTTATGGCAGAGAGCGAGTGTTACCACATAGCTACATGTTTGTCAAGTGATCAGTAGTGGAAATCATAGTTATTTCTATGTACAGTAAGAATGGTAACTGTAGTTGCCTCTAGCATACCTACGTCATATCATGAGGCACATTTCACACTCTGGTGAACGCTGTACATTAAATTATTGACACGATGTATGGGGACCGATATGGCGTTTGACATGTTCTACTTTCGTTATGGTAATGAGATGACGTCACGCCTGAGCTATGTCACGTTGTCGATAAGGGTGCACACAGTTCGAGTATATAATACGAGGTGTTTATAGATATCAACAAATACCCCGTTGATATGTCTGTCTCGCTCTGTGCTGAATACACAGTAGACCACCAGGCAGTTGTATTTATATTAGGATAGTATAGCAAACACAATCTAGAGTTTTGTTGTAAATTCTGACTATGTTGTATTAAAACTGTTGATGACATGTGAAATACCTGATGACCAACAGGTGAGTGAGTGAGCGAGTGAGCGAGTGAGTGAGTGAGTGAGTGAGTGAGTGAGTGAGTTGGCTTTGAACAGTCTTTCAGTTAACTTACAGCGTGTCAGCCGATTTGATGCAAGTCTTAGACGGGTTTTTTTAAAACCGACCATCACGGGTATGGTGATGGCAAAAACTAGAAACATTATCAGGGCGAACCAGGATTCTAGCTCACAATTATTGGTTTCATGGGCTGCAACACCGCACAGCTATATCATTGCTTGGTCGTTTGTTTTAAGACTTTTATGCATGCAGTTTATCTGCGTGTTGTTCCGTTTTACTATCGGATATCTACTAGTCACTAGTTCATCTTTAAGTTCACCAAATATTTCGATGGGTATGGCTTGTGAAGGCTCGTGGAAGGTCAGCATCTGGCTTAAGTAGAACGTTATGAAGGCAGGGGTGGTAGCTATGTATTGGCGTCCTGTTGAAGTCAGATAGTAAGACCTGAGCAGTACAAAGCTATGATTTCGCAGCTCGCCAGTTTCATGTATGGAGT